ATAGATATAGATATAGATATAGATATAGATAGATATTTCCAGGCAGAGCGGTTGTATAGTTGAGTTCTGAGCTGAAGAAGGTACTTTGTAAGTGAAATTCTGTTTTTATTTTAAAAAGAAATTGACAATTACTCTGAAATTTGGCAGATTTTTACAAAGCCAAGTGAAATAGCTATCATTTCACAGAATACAATTGATATTATCTGTTGGGGATGATAAAATTAGGAATTCAAGAAAAAAATCAGAATTTTGGATTTTTTTTTTTTTTTTTTTTAATGAGACAGGGTCTCACCATACGGTTTGGCCAGGCTTGAACTTACTATGTGGTCCAGGCTTGGCCTCAGACTCATGGCCATCCTCCTACCTCAGCCTCCCAAGTGCTAGGATGATGGGCCTGCACCCACTACGCCTGGCCAAACTTGAAGACTTAAGACTTGTGAACATCACTATGACTTTGACATCTGTCAATTTACATATTTTTCTGAAATGAGCGATTGTGAAATCACCAAACGTGCTTTCATCTCTATTGGATGAAATACATTTGCATTTAGAAAAATCACAATAACTCTGTGAACTAATAGGTGACAAATTACCAATGCATAGAGTTAAAAATCCCAACAGTATATTTCACAGAACTAGAGAAAACAATCCAAAAATTCATTTGGAACCAGAAGAGACCTAGACTAACAAAAGCCATCCTAGGCAACAGAGATGGCAGGGGGTATCACAATTCCCAACTTGAGACTATACTACAAAGCCACTGTGATAAAACAGCATGGTACTGGCAAAGAAACAGACCCAAGGATCAGTGAAACAGATTAGAAGATGCAGAAACAACTCCAAACATACTCAGCTACCTTATCTTTCACAAAGAAGCCAATTATCCTCACTGGAGGAAGGAAAGCCTCTTTAATAAATGGTGTTGGAAAAACTGTCTTTCAACTTGCCAAAGATTAAAACTAGACCCCTATCTTCAACCATGTACTAAACTAAAATCCAAGTGGATTAAAGATATAAATATTAAAAGACAAACACTAAACTTGCTGGAAGATAAGTTAGGCAGAACTATTGAAGATATTGGCATAGGAAAAGACTTCATGAACAAATCCTCAGTAGCATGGGAACTAGCAGAAAGAATCAACAACTGGGATCTCATCTTTTTTTTTTTTTTTTATTGAGTTTATTGGTACATTTAGGGATACAGTACAGTTACATTCATTGTTGGGATCATGTACCTTTACATGGCAAGTCTTGATTCTCATTTTTTTCCCCTTACCTCTGCCCTCCCTTCACCCCCTCCTCCCCTCCCCATCTACAAACACTTTATTTTCATCTTTTCATTCTCTCACATTTTTTTCTTTTCCCTTTTTGTTCTTCCCCTACGTATCACACCTTCCCTACATCTTTAGCTCCTTTCCTCCCATTTCTAAATGTCAGTAATCTTATTAGAATCTTATGCATTGTTGCAGAATATTCACACCAGGGAAACTATTTGGTATTTACACATGTGGGACTTATTTATTTCACTTAGGAGTATATCTTCAATATGTATCCATTTTCCTATGAATGAATCTATTCTCTCGCTCTTTATGGCTGAGTAATATTCCATTTTATAGAAAAACCACAACTTCTTTATCCAGTTTCCAACGGATGGGCAAATAGGTTGTTTCCAAGATTTAGCTATTACAAACTGTGCCGCTATAAACATGGGTGCACATACTTCTCTGTGATATGATTCTTTTAGTTCTCTTGGAAAGATACCCAACAGAGGGATGGCTGGGTCAAATGGAACCTCCAGTCCAAGCTCTTTGAGGTATCTCCATATTGATTTCCATAGTGGTTGCACTAGTCTGCACTCCCACCAACAATGGAGGAGGGTTCCTTTCTCCCCACAACCCCGCCAACATTTGTTATTGTGTGATTTCTTGATAGCAGCCATTCTTTGTGGGGTGAGGTGGAATCTCAGTGTTGTTTTCATCTGAATCTCTCGAATGACCAGTGATGTGGAACATTTTTTCATATATTTTCTTGCTGCTTTCACTTCTTTGTATGAGAAATGTCTGTTCATTTCGGATGCCCATTTTTGGATCGGGTCTTTATATTTGGGGGGACTGATTGTTTTGAGTTCTTTATATATCCTTGATAATAGTCCTTTGTCTGAGGTACAGCTGGTAAAAATTTTTTCCCACATTGTAGATTGTCTCTTAGTTCTGCTAATGGTTTCTTTTGAAGTACAGAAGCTTTTTAGTAAGATGGGATCTCATCTTTTTAAAAGGCTTCTGCACGGCCAGAGAAATAACCAGCACAGCTAAGAGACAAAACACAATGTGGGGAAAAATTTTTACCAGCTGTTCCTCAGACAAAGGTCTACTATCCAGAATATAATAAAGAACTCAAAAGAATCAGACCCTCTCAAATATAAAGACCCAATTCAAAAGTGGGCATCTGAAATGAACAGAGATTTCTCAGACAAACAAGTAAAAGCAGAAAATAAACATATGAAAAAATGTTCCACATCACTGGTCATTCAGGAGATTCAGAAGAAAACAGCTCTGAGATTTCATCTCACCCCAGAAAGAATGGCTGCTATCAAGAAATCAAACAATAACAGATGTTGGCACAGTAGTGGGGAGAAAGGAACCCTTCTTCATTGCTGGTGGGAGTGCAGACTGGTGCAACCACTGTGGAAATCAATATGAAGAGACCTCAAACAAATAGGATTAGAAGTCCTATTTGATCCAGCTATTCCCTTGCTGGGTATCTTCCCAAAATAGTGAAAAGAGCATATATCACAGTGATATATGCTCAACCATGTTCATAGTGGCACAGTTAGTAATAACTAAAACTTGGAAACAGCCTAATTGCCCATCAACTGGAGAGTGGATAAAGAAGATGTGTGTGTGTGAGTGTGTGTGTTTGTGTGTGTGTGTTTGGTGTGTGTTTTATATATAAAATGGAGTACTAATCAGCCACAAAGAATGAGAAAGTAGAGAGATTTATAGCTAAGTGGATGTGCATTGAGGACATACTCAAGTGAAATTAACAAGACACACATGTATAAATACTGAATAGTTTCTCTAGTGTGAAAAACTAAAAGTCTAAATAAGGACCAAAACGTATAACTGATATTGTGTAATAGGAAAACAAGTCTAAAAGAATAGAGGAAGTGGGAGGGGGAGGAGAAAGGGAAAAGAAAAAAATATGAGCAAAGGAAAAACACAGAAACAATGTCTTTGTTAACAGAGGAAAAAATATGAGAGAAGGAAAAACACAGAAGCAATGTCTTTGTAAACAGAGAAAGGTGGAGTGGGTGAAGGCAGGATAGGGAAATGGGGAAAAAATAAGAACCAAGGTAAGTCATATAAAGGTACAAGATCTCAGTGATTAATGTAACTGCATTGTATACCTAAAATGTACCAATAAACTTAATTTTTAAAAAATCAAGCCTGGCTAAAAGCCTGTTCAGAGGGTAAGACAGACCAATGTATTTTAATGTAAGAAAGCCAAAAATAGTTTAAAATAGGATTTTAGATTTTACATTGTAACTAATGTTAAAGAAACTATCAGGGGCGAAAGGAGGGTAGGGGTGTGGGGATAAAATAAGAACCAAGATACAGCATCTAAAGATACAAGATCCCAGTGATGAACGTAACTGTACTGTATACTACAAAGCACCAATAAACTTAATGAGAAAAAAGAAACTATCAATTATCTAACTTTAGTTATCAAAGAAAAATATCCACGAGACTCTAAAAAGAAAGACTATGAACATATTGATAATTTTCTGAACTATTGTCTGCACATTGTCTATATAGTTCTTCATGTACTTCAACCAAGATAACACACTGTAATAAACAGAATATGGAAGATGTGAGAATATATCTTTCTTCTGTAAGCCAGGTGTAAGATACATTTGCAAATACATAAAATAACTTTTCTTCTCACTAGAAATTATAGTTATTTTTATGAGAATGTTATTTATGCTAGCATGTATTGGGCTTAATAATTTTAAGTGCAGAACTATAGTAAACATTAAAACATTTCTCAATTTGAGTTCTAATACAGTAAATCATCATGGATTAACCCACATAAACCAAAGGTATTTGGGCCTTCAACAAATTTAACAGTAAAAGAGTTAAGATACCAAAAGATTTTAGAAATACTGAAGGAGGGTAACACACTATTTCATAACTAGATTCATTTAACTGACAATGATTTTCTTGGTGAAAAAATGACTTGGCATAATTTACCTGCTCAAAGTTTGGAGACGTCAAAGCATTTGCTGTTCTTACTCTTTCTAGTTGAACATCTTCATCTTCCCCTTCTGGGTCTTCTGGATTGTGCAATACAGTGCTGCTTCTTGGAGAAATTCTAGAGTTAAAGAGTTTTGTTAATAATTGGATGCTGTTTCCTAGTGTCATAGAGAGATCATTTCATCCTCTAAATCTTATATTTGAGGCATGTAGATGATTCATAACACTTCATAATTTCCGTCTTCTTAGGAAAACTTTCCTCTTCACAACCACCATGATTTAGTCTGTAGTGTCAGCAAAGTAAACTATCATTGCTTCTTATCTCTCTTTAATTATCTTTACTAAGGAGCTATCGCTTTTTCATCTCAACGGACAACTTAATACACATACTCTAGCAAGAAAATTATATACTGTCTCACAATAAATACTCTGGAAACCATAGTTAACGATGCCAAGACATGGACATTGTCCAAGCTTTTTTGATAGTAATGGGCTAGAATATTTAAAAAATCAGGTCTGTCACAGAAAATTCTAGTTATGTGATTCAGCACAGGCATTACTTTGATATATTTTCTTTTTCATTCCAGCTCAAATCTCAATACCAAGATCATTACTCTGGGCTCTTGTTCCTCTCTCTACCCGTTCTTTCCCATGTGATTACAGATGATACCCTCAAGGTCTCCTGTCACATTTGCGCTCAACTTTCTGTCATAGTTAAAGATGACATTAACGTGGTGGCAGGATAGCCAACCAGCTTAGTTTTCTCAGAACTGAGGGACCTGGGACATGGGACTTCCCGTGTTAAGGTTGTGAAAACTCTTTGCAAGTGGAGATTTCTAAAGGGAGATTCCAATCCTGAATGAGGTCTCCAAAGAAAGATGCTTCTGGTTTTGTTCTTGAGTCTTGATTAGAAAGTGTCCACCTTTAAGATCACTTGAAAGCTGACTTCATTTCCTTTTTTGCTACAGCCTGAGGCAATTGTTCATGATCTACTTGCTGGGCTTCTCACCCTCCTAGGAAAATGGCTGTTGCTGCCTTTGGCCCTGTTTCCCACCCTGTGTCCATTTCTGGATCCACTTTATTCCTTTAGCTGTAGGCTACACGAGCCATTTACTATTCAAACTGACTCTATCCTATCTAATGTGCCGCCGGCTCCCACTGAAAACAGTTCAGACAAAGCCCTTGATTTTCAGTGTTTCCCATGTGTTAGTGCTGTCCAAACTACTACCAGGTTACACTTATTTTAAGGCCCAGTCCCTGAATTCCACTTTTGTGTACTTCCTATAGCCCGCGCTTCAGGATACCCTAGCATGTCCTTGATAACTGACTAGGTTTTCCCCCCAGGAATATCTTTAAATAGCTATCATTTTAAAAAGCATGAAAGTACTTTTCCAAACCTAAAGACAGGATCCTTTCTCATTGTTTTCTTTCCAAGCTTGCATTCCAGACATCGAAGAATAACAAGAAAGATGATAAAGTGAACATATGGCTAGGGAGAAAGAGAGACACTCAAAATTAGAAATACTAAAAGAGAACTTCAGAAGTGAATTAGAAATTCTTATTCTTTTAAAGGCATATATTTGGCAAAATACTGAGAATTTGAAGGACGGACTATTAGGATAGTCATAAAAAATCAAGTTCAAATATATTCCTTAGGAGAGAAAAACTAGTAGTGTTTTATATCATATCAAAATATATCTACATTACATTGAACAAAATTTTATTCATATTTAGGTGTTGTCTATCTTTGTCTCCACAGATTCAGCATTATTAGGATCCTTGTAAATATTCATTCTAATTTTAAGGATGTTGTGTTTAGCTGGGACTTCAGTTGTATAAACATTTTAAGTAAAGTTTCACAATATAAACAAGAAAGTACAGTTGTAGACTACAATGACCGATGTCTCTCCAAATGCAGTAATATTTCAACGAGAGTCAGACTTACTACTAGGTACACCAGGAACTCATATTTCTTCCCTTGTTTTGAAAGAATGATGTCATGATATACACGGTGCTGCAAAAGGAAGGATAATCCTTTAAATACAAAGTTTTGTGATTTCCGAGTTTTCCTCAAACAACTGTGACTGGCCCATTGAGCGGATCTGCTGATATTTCCCCAGGTTTTCCAAGGGGAGAAGGGATGTGCCAATTCTTAGACATGTGTGAGGGACAAACTGCTTTTGTCTGGATGAAATTCAGCGATTATCGGTCAGGTGCTTAGAAAACCTGGGGCTTAGCGCTAGCAAACTTGCCATGGCGAGCATGCGCAGAACCACCATGCTGCTCTCCCAGACCCACGTTAGTACACAGGCAATGAGAGCACAGACTGGTTCCCCCCAAATAAGATGCTCTTAACCACAGAGTGAGTCATGGAAAATTTGTTCCAAGGGTGCACTTTTCTGAGGAGAGGGTCCAGTGCCTGTGTAAGATTCCCCAAGGCTGACATACCCAGAAAACCTCTTAAGGACTAGTAGGGGAAGTGATGGATATTTTGAGTAATATAGTCCTTTGTTTTTATATATGTATGGAAATAAGTCTCTAGGAAATAAAAAATAAAGAGTAGCAAATACAAGTGTGACTATACTGTGCCAAATTTTTAAAAATGTAGTATCAAATGTGATATTAAGGTGTATCAAGCATTAGTACCTCAACCCAAAATATTAGGGAAGAATTTTTGTCTGATTTTTTTTACTAAACCTATTCAATGAATTCATCAATATAAACATTTTCCACCTGCTCATTACCCTTTACCAGAAGACAGGAATGGGGGCAGATTTGTGCCTGTGGGCCAACAGGACTATGGATAGACTCTTCTCAGTGTGTGGAGGGACTTTATATTTTAATTTTTTAAATTTAAGTATTCTGCTTTAAAAGTGCGTATTTCTCAACTATGGACGAAGCTTTCCTATATTCCTATATAAATGCCACGTATTTCAAGACACTTGAACAAATATTGGCATTCCTTACTTCAAAATGTAGCACTGTGCAACCAGTCAAGGCGGTGGTTGGAATTAAGACACTGACACAATACAGAAATACGTCCCCAAGGAAATCCATGATAACTGCAGGAACCAGCGTGATCTAAACAAAAATAAATATCTATGTTATGTTGCTCTCTGAAACAGTACATATTTAAATTTGAGATCGTATGAAGTTTTTCTGATTTTGACATCTATTTCACGAAGCAAGAGAAAGTCGGTATTATCTTTAACATTTCCACCGAGGCTTCAGTTTCTCTGTTTGACTATGACAGCTATACAAAAACTGGACACTTTTCAGGATCTTATGTATAGACTAAATTTTTTTACATTCTGTTTTAATTACAGAAAAGCAAAAATAAATTTAGGATGACTGTCTTTAAAGAGGAAAATTAAGTAAGATACAGGCAATCATTAAGGGAAATAGTTTTGAAATTGAACAAAAACAGAAATGAAAAATTAGAGGGGACCATTTTCTTAGGTATATCACCAAGAGGAATATGAGCACGTAATAACCTGTAAGTGACATGGGCACAAATATTCAAGTACAGAGTTCAGAGTTGAGTTGAATGCAGGTACAGCGTCACGCTTCCTCTTCTAAGCCACTGTAAGGTCTCGGGAGGAGGCCTGTCCTGCCTTTTATTCAAGCTGTCATTTTCGTGGCTATCGCAGGACGGTTTCTAAGACTGTATCTCCAACTGTGCTCCTCTTCCAAAGGCTTTCACACTTTCCCAGCATGAAAGATATACAGCCGTGGAATAGATTGGTGAGCACATCACTTGAGATTAGAGTTGGATCAACCTAAATTTCCATCTTAGCTAGGGCACTTGGGTTTTGTTTTGGGTCCTGTGCACATGCACAGGTTCTTAGCATTTGCTAGGATCAGCCTGATTTTCTTCCCTTTTGAAGTCTTGCTCGTTCATTGTTGTTTATTTGCATTATCCTTCTTTACCAATTGAAATGTTTCTTATCCTTAAGAAATCTTCTTGGCACACAATTCATTTCCAGAAATTAACCAATCTTGGATTTAATAGTTATTTTTTAAAGAAATCACTCAATTGTTTTCTAGATGATCTACCTCAGTGGGTACTCTTGTCTTTAGTATCTGGCTGTATAAATACCTGTGTGTTCATCTATCTCCCTTCAAGGATTCTTTGAAAGTAGATACTGTGCATTTTATGGCTCCTGTCACTCATGAGTCTCAAGGCCCGGCACACAGGAAAAGTCAACAAATATTTATTGAATGATAATTTATTTGGAATATTTAAAAAACACAAGTTAGATAGAAAAAGTGCTTATAATTTATACATATTTCCCCTCCCAATTTTATGGAAATCATTATGATTTTTATCAAAGAATTCTTAGTGGGGAATTTTGAGGATTAGTCTTAAGTTTTAGCTCTTCTATTAATAATATTTGTAATCTTGTGCAACTTCCTGGGGTCTTTTGGACCTCATTTACTTTTCCCCCAAGAAGAATGTTAGAATGACTTCAAGGTTTCCTGCAAACTCCAAATTTTATAAAAATGTGACTGTTTTCAGAAAAATCAAAACAGATATGGAGCAAAAAAGCATACTTACAAATGTATATATCCACAGTTGTATCATACAACACCTAAAAATTGCCCAGAAAAATACAGTAGAGGTATTTCAAGTGTAATATAATTTTATCTTATGCCTACCAAAATTAATAAAGTATTAGCTGTTAACTTCATAATAAAAATAAACACATTTATAGTAAACATACTTACAAAATAGAAGCAAAATGACCAAATGCCACTATTTTTTCTCCCATTACGAAAAATGAATGAAATCACATATGTCATGAAGATAATTGATATGGAATAACCAACAATATACAGAATCTGAAATTAAAGACAATATTAAGAGTATGGAAGACAAATGCAGTCCAGGAAACCATTTAGATCCAAAACTTATCATACAACAGGATCTTTTAAATTATATCATCTAGAATACTTTAAATGTCATCAAAATTGTTTAAAAGAGGGACAACAGGAACATGGGAGTGTAGGCAGCTCCAAGTCCCCCATCTCTCAACTGAAATATTGAAAAATAAGCAGAATTGGTAGGACCAACTTTGTCAGAACTAGAAATTGTTTAAAAGAGGGACAACAGGAACATGGGAGTGTAGGCAGCTCCAAGTCCCCATCTCTCAACTGAAATATTGAAAAATAAGCAGAATTGGTAGGACCAACTTTGTCAGAACTCAGTACATGAGTTGGTTTCATGGAAAATTCTGAATCAATAAAAAGCACATTCCAAGATGATCGGAAAGCTTGAGCATGTTCTGACTTTCCCTTTGCCCCCCTCCTTCCTCAGGGAGTATAGTTGAAGCTGGCAACCTGTATTTCAGTGCAGGATCCTAGTCACCGTACCAGCGAGATCACAGCTAATCTTATTCTCAAATTACTGTAAAAGTCTGGCCTAACCTGATTGAGAGCTATCTGAAGGGCAGGTGTAAGCATCTGCTCTAGTTTCAGCTAATGAAAATTCATTCAGGGTGGAAAAGTGAGAAATATTGCTTAAAAACAATATAAAGCTAATAAACATTCTATAGCCACCTGGAGCAAAATAGAATAGTTGAGACATAAAATAGATCATCCTGACCTATAAAATTTTTCTGAGAGTTTCATTGGGAAATAAGAACATTCAAAAGCACCTATATGTACCAGATATTTAGAAAGTCATGAAGATACTAAGGGAGAATGTGCATCCATGAAAAACATGACAGGAGTCTAGGTTTACACAGTGAGCTAATCTTTAGGCATCATGTAAGCCTGGCTAGCTGTTCAAAGAGTTCTAACCAACACAGAGCCTGCCTGTATAGGTTAGTGAAGATTTCCAAGTTTCTGTTTCTCAAGGAAATCTCTTTCAAAAACACTAGTTGAACTAGACAAAGGAACAGAGATTTCAGTTGCCCCACAAGACTGAGCATACAGACCATAAAAATGTTTTGGGAAATACTCTAACCAAAAGATCATTATAGCCTGTAGTCTAAAATAGCAAATTCTAAACAAAGAGGAGAACCTGTTACCTACAGTTACCACGTTATGATATTCAAATGTCCTCATTTTCCCAAAAACCTAAAACAGAAATAGAAAAATGTATCCTATATTCAAGGAACAAAATAATAAAAAACTCTGAAGAAGTCTAGATATAGGACTTACAAAATGACAACTTTGAAAATTATATTACATATATTCAAAAACACTAAATGAAACCATGGAGAAAGAACTAAAGGAAAGCAAACAAAGTACATATTTAAAAAGAGAGTAAAACATAAGTATACATTATAGAAATGAACAGAAACATAAATTCTAGAACTTAAGCATATACTAACTGAAATAAAAATTTTACTGAAGATATTCACCAGTATATTTGAGCTGGATGCAGAAAATCAACAAACTTGAGCACAGACCATGAAAATCATTCAGTATCAGGAGTAGAAGAAAAGGAAAACAAAGAAAAGTACACAGAATTTAAGAGATCTGTGAAATACTGTGATGCGAACAAACATATACATCGAGGAAGTTCCAGAAAAGGGAGAGAAATGAAGACAGAAGAAACACTTGAAGAAACAATACCTGGAAAGTGAGTGTCCTTATTTCATGAAGCACAAGAATGTATACATCTAACAGGATTACCAAACTCCAAATAGAAAAAAATAAAAGTAAAAACAAAAAGACTCATAACGAAACAGTTCGACCTCAGCTCTATTGTCCAACTATTGATATCCGAAGACACTATTGCAGGTAGCAGAGGTAAATGACTCACTACATATGATGAGTCAGATAATTAACCGATAGCCAGTTTCTCGTCAGACAAGATAGAGGCCAGAAGGCAATGAAATGACATTGAAGATCCCGAAAGAATAAAACTTTTAAGCAACTATTCTTAATTTAAAATTTGGGAAAACTGTTATTTGCCCCCAAATGGGACAAAATTAAAAGATTTCTAGAAGAGCAGAAGCAAAAGGAGTTTGTTACCAATTGATTTGACTCAAGAGAGATATTTCAGGTTGAAATGAGAGAACACTTAACAGCGACTTGAAGTTGCACAAAAAATATATATTTTTTCAGTAAAAGTAAATACATAGGCAAATATGAATATTCTATTCTATTTCTAGATTTAACTCCACTTTTTATTTCCTATATGATTTAAATGAAAACGTATGAAGAATAATTATGAGCTTGTGTTTGGGGCTCACTGGTTACAACAACAGCAAGGAGGAGGTAACCTAGAGTTTTTATGTGTATTTGGAGTAAATTTATTATCCATTGCAATTAGACTGTTGCACAGTGGTATAATAAACATAACCCTCCTGCTTACTTCCAAGAAATGATCTAAGCTATCATCAATACTAAAAGGTAATCGAAAGGATCCATTATAAGAAGTTAAAATGCTAAAAATGCATTGATGAAAGAAATGGGAGCCAAAAAGGCTGTAAGACTGACAGGAGACAGGAGAAAAGAAGAAATGACAACAGAAATCAGAAAATATCTAAAATGAATGAATACTAAAACACAGTGCACCAAAACTTGCAGAGTGAAGTTAACGGTGTTGCTCAGAAGGAAATTTCTAGGTGTAAAAGAAGAACTAACGTAAATAAAAAACTGAACTTTCCATCTTTGAGAACTAGAAAAAGAAGGAGTCAGCTAACCTAATACACAGTAGATAGGGAAGGAATAATAGAGCCAGATTAAATGAAATAAAGAATGGAAAGAATCAAGGAAACCAGAAGCTGTAACTTCTAAAATACCAACGTAATTGACAAAATTTAAGCTAGAGTGCCAAAGCAAAAGTAGGAGAGGCAAATAAGTGAACTTGCAAGTCAGAGTTTGGATCTTACTACCAATTTTACAGAAATAAAATGAGCAAACAACCAAAAGGAATTTACAGAATACTATGAACAATTGTTCTTCAGAACTATCAGAGCACCTACATGAAATGGACAGACTCCTAGAGACACACAAATAACCTCATCTGATTTAAAATGAAAATTTATGCATATAAAATATAGAGCTGGAGTCAGTAATCAAAGCCTTCCAATGATGAAGTACAAAGCTAGATAGTTCCTCTGGTAAATTCCATCAAACAATTAAAGAATTTGTATAAAACAAGTCCAGTAAAAAAAAAAATGAACAAATGACTTAAAGAGACTTCAAAGAAGATAGAGTCACGGTCAATAAACAATCACCACTCGCTCTCCTGCGCGACCTCCTCTGGAGCCGCGCCGTTTCCAGCGGGCGCTGAGTGATTGGCTACAACGCACACCAGTCGGGTGAGTTTGACAACATCGCCCCGGCTTGGTCTCAGAGCCCTCTCTCCTGCGTAGCCCATCAATTGGAAACTGGATAAAGAAGATGTGGTTTTTCTACAAAATGGAATACTACTCAGCCATAAAGAATGAGAAAGTAGATTCATTCTACTTTGGATTCATTCATAGTTAAATGGGTACATTTTGAGGATATACTTCTTAGTGAAATAAATAAGGCACACATATGCAAATACCAAATAGTATCTCTGGTGTGAAAAGCTAAAATAGTATTCAAGATCCTAATGGGACACTTAGCAAATAGGAAGAAAACGACCAAAGGTGTAGGAACAGTGAGAAGGATAAGGAAGGGGGAACAAGGGAAAAGGAAAAAAATGTGAGAAAATGTAAAAATGGAATTAAAGTGTTTGAAAGGGCAGAGGGGAGGGGAGGGTGAAGGGAGGGTGGGACAAGGGGAAAAATGAGAACCAAGACCTGGCATGTAAAGGTACAAGATCCCAGTAATGAATGTAACTGTACTGTCTACCTAGAATGTACCAATAAATTAAATTAAAAAAAAAAGCAAATCAAACTCGCAAAGATACACCACTTCACACCTGCCAGGATGGTTATAATAAAAATTTTGGAAAAAAAACCCCAAAACAAAGATAATACCATGTTTATTATGCTACATGGATAATGATGATATAAACCAGTACAGTTAATGTAGGAAACAGCTTGATTCCTCAAAAGGATGAACTTTGAATCATCATACAATTTGGTAATTTTGCTTAAGGCTGAAACAGACAACCTTACATCAACATTCATTTCAGCATTACTCACAGCAGCCTACAAATGGATACAACTCTAGTGCCTATGAACACATAAACTATGTACAAACAGTGGAATATTATGTAACCATAAAAGAAATAAAGTTCCACTGCATGCAACTTTAAAACCATTATGCTATGCAAACTAAACCAGCCCCCACTGGACAAATATTATGTGAAGTATATCGAATAGGCAAATTCTTAGAGGTTGAAAGTGGACTAGCAACAACCTGGGGCTGGGAGTAGCAAGAAATCGGAAATCACTGTTTAAGGAGCATGAAGTTTTGTGGATGAAAAAAATTTCATTAATTTGAGTTTTGCACATAAAAATGATTAAGATGGCAAATTTTATTACATATACAATACAATAATTTTAAAATTAAACAAAAATTAAATATAAAAAATATATTCTATTATATTAATGTCAATATTACTGATGAGGGCTGGGGATTTAGCTCAGTGGATCCACCACCTGCCTTGAAGCACAAGGACCCAAGTTCAATCCCCAGTACCAAAAAACAAAAACAATATTACTGATTAAATCATCTCATGTTAACTTATTTTATGAATACTGTCACTTACCTGAATAAGTACATCAACAGCTGTATATATATCCTCTTTTACTTTTGAGGTACAGTATACTAAATACATAAATAAAATGAGTGAAAAGTAGATGGGAACTTCAACCAGCGCCTGTCCAAACCAGTAAGCAGAAGGGTTCAGGCCTGAAATCCACAACTGGAATTGAGCTTTGTTCTGAATAAAGTACAAGAGATATCAATAAATAAATAATGTTGAAATTTGCTTTTAAGAAAAGAGAGAACATATAAGAAAACAATGAAATGAATTCCTCACTATTAACAGAAATACACATTGCCTCTAAATGCTGTACAGTCTAATGGATATGGGTAATTTCAAAACTAATATTTCCAAATTTGCTTGTAATTAATGAAATGATCGCTCAATATGTGTGTGTGTGTGTGTGTGTGTGTGTGTGTGTGTTTTGTACCCAGGATCGAACTCGAGCCCTTGCGCTTGCAAGGCAGGCGCCAGAACCACTGAGCTAAATCCCCAGCCCAAAATCTTGATAGAGATACGGAGAAGGTCTCCGAATAATGAAGTAATGCATACTGCAGTGAATAAAACAGTGACTTCAAGGCATAGAGGGGAGGATTTTCCATGAAATGATTCACCTTTGACTCAGATGGAGGATGATGGATTTTTTCTTTGTATTCTGAATAAATATCATTGTTAAACACTATAAATACTTAAACATATTTTCTAATTTTCATTGCAATCTCTCCTCTGATCTATCATCGTTGGTAGTAGTATAGTCTTTAATTTTCAGGTATTTCATAATTTTCTAAGCATCTTATTGTTTCCTGATTTAATCATATTCTGGATAGAGATCATACTCTGTACAACGTAAATCTTAGACGTTATTGCTTTCATCACTGAATTTTGCCAACTAGTAATTAACTAATAGAACTATATTTTAAATAATTTTTGAAAAAGAAAATATCATCCTTTACATGTATCGCCACAGTAACCATTGTCTTTTTGTCTGTAGTATGTGGAGTTGAACCATGATTCTCATTATGGTCAGCAAGCACTTTGTCACAAGCTACGCCTCCAATCTTTTGTTTCTATTTATTGTTTTCGCTTTAAAATAGTGTCTCTTGAAGTTGCTTGAGCTGTGCTCAACACTGCAATATTTCTGCCTCAGCCTCCTGAGTAGGTGGAATTATAAAGCGGCTTCTGTGTACCTGTCCATATCTGCTGTTTCTGCTGCTCTTCATTACTATGTGCATATTTCAATTTTCATGTGGCATTACTGTCCTGCCTGAAAGACTTCCGTTAATAATTTTTATGTGTGGGTATATTGACAATGATTTCTCTTAATTTTCATTTTCATTAAATTCATTAGTTCCTTTAGTTTTGAAGTATGTTTTACTGAAGATAGAGTATTTAGTTTGGCAATTTTATTCTTTCAACATTTTATGGGTATTATTTCCTTATCTTCTGGCTTTCGTTCTTAGAACTGTCCTATCACTGTCATTTGTTTTTCTTTGTAAAATGTCACTTTATTTTGGAGACGTGTAGTTTTTTTTTTTAATCACTGGTCTCAGCAATTTGATTATGATGTACCACCTAATGATTTTCTTTTGTTAGGTGTCCTGTTTGGGACTCTGTGAACTTCTTGTATCAGTGAATTTATGGTTTTCATCAAATTTTGAAAAGTGTTCTGAAATACATTTTTGTCACTTGGCCCCTTTCCTGCAGGGAATTCAATTGGTATACTGATTATCCTATAACAGTTATGGCTTTGTTTAGTTTCTCAGAGATTTTTCTCTCTTTCAGTTTATATACTTTCTATAGCTATAAGCAACATTAATTTAATTTTTCATCAGGTATGATAATCTTTACTTACACAAGCCTCACTTGATTTGTTTTCAGAAGTTTCTTCTGTTTCTCTTCTCATCGATTAATTCTAAGGCAGATTAATATTTGCTTTTTCAATGGTATTTCTGTTAATGTTTTCAATATTATTTGTTTATCTTTGTCATTTCTGAATCTCTTCTCAATTGGTTTTTCCACCCAGTTTGAGTTTCTTCCTTTGAATAGATGTCTAGTAATTTTTTGAGGGGTTGACCCATTGAATTTTACATTGTTGGGTGTTGGGCTTTGTTTTCCTCTTTCAGCAGGTTCAACTTTGTCCTGGTAATCCTCTTGTCTGCTCTACTTTAATCTTGTTTTTAATTTTCTTTTTTGTTGAAGACACAATTAGAGGAAACGTTACTAAAGGGCTCAGTTAGCCCTAATGTTAAGGATACCCCTTCCGGGTTCAATCCCTGCATACATCCTCTAATAACTGATTGGAAACCAAATTTTTTCTACTTCTTTGTGGGATATTTGAATTACAGATCTTGTAACTATTTGTCCATTTTTGCCTTCATGTAATTTTCCTACAGGTGCTTTGCTTAGCGTTAGCAACAAATTCAAAGCAAGCCTAAGACACAGTTCTGTGGCTCTTCCTCTACATAGCTCCATCTTTTAGATGATCTTGCTGTGCAAATTCTAGACACTTCAACCTCCTTGAACTCCAAATTTCTATCTTTTTGGTTTAACAAGAACTTTGTATGTTGATAAGTGTCTATTCTACAAAATATTTCCAGGAAGAAAACTGTGATGAATGGAGAGCTAATATTGCTTGTTTTCTTCTCTCATGTATCCCAGTCTGCTACTGTCCATTTTCCTATGTCTATAAACAGATATTCTATTTTGAACAAAAATATTCATGGCACGAGGACAAACCTCATTCTATTAGCAAGATTCATTCTATGTATCAATAAAGAAAAAAAAAAGAAATGAAATACTCTGAACTTTCATTGTTTCTCTTCTTTCTCCATTCCTCTTCCTTTGGTTCTTTTTTTTTTTTTTTTTTTTTAGATATTACCCACAAATGTGAGAAAGCTCTCCATATGCAAGCATGGGTACTGTCTAAAGAAAACCCTTATAATCCACTACAATCAATTTCTAATTAATTAAGAAAACTAAATTTCCCATTATTTTCTATTACCTTATAGTCATCGATGCTGGTCATGGAAATGTAAGGAGAAATAGAGGACATCAAAATGATCCAGGAGGTGAGATAGGCTAGATTATTAACCTGAGAGTAGATGTCATCCTGAAAATGGGAGAAGTGCAAAGGACTTGAAGGCAGAGTTGACAGTCATTTTCTGGTTGCCTTTCTCACAATAGGTAATCTGATAATCTGAAATCTTGCTTTGGTTTCATTTTGAGGTTGCCCTCTCCTTTCATTCATTATCACTGTGTATTAATATGCTAGGGACAGATTTTTTTTCCAATATTTTGTATTCACAGTTGTTGACTCTGCAAAGGCGGAGTGCATAAGGTAGCACGATGACAACATAAAGTTAGTTGTGCCATTTGGTGTCCAGACTGTGTCCATATTATTGGTATCCAGACTGTGTCCATGACACAATACACACTACAGTTGTGTTAATACTGTTAATAATGTTAATCATGACAGTTTAATACGGTTAATAATGACTTTGTGGATGAAACCTCAATTCTTCCTTTAGCCAGGAAATTAAACCAACAAGGTTGCTATTTATTTATTTATTTATCTATTTTTGGTTTTTTGAGACAGGGTCTCACTTTGTAGTTGAGACCGACCTGGAACTCACTATGTAGCCCAGGCTGGTCTCGAACTCACAGCGATCCTCCTGCTTCAGCCTCCCAAGTGCTGGGATTACAGGTGTGCGCCTTGTGCCTGGCTTATTTATTTATTTCTTTTGGTACCAGGGATCTAACCCAGGTCCTTGTGCTTGCAAGGTAGGTGGCAGAACCACTGAGCATGTGCCTGGCTTATTTATTTTTTTTGGTACCAGGGATCTAACCCAGGTCCTTGTGCTTGCAAGGTAGGTGGCAGAACCACTGAGCTAAATAACCGGCCATAAGGTTGTTGATTAATAAAACATAGTGCATCATATATGAAAAAATTCTTAACAGACTGTTACCAGTGCTTATCATGAAAAATAAATTTATACTATCATCTTACTGAAGGGAGTTCATATTTTCTGAGCATACATTAAGATATAAAAAAGAAAGTTATGATTATGCTGCAAAATATAAAAATAATTTTAGACACTTGTTATTTTATGTATAGATGTATTAATGGCATTTGTTATTCTAATGAAATCTAGATTTGAATAGGACATAACATATACTGCTAGCCTATTTTATTTATTAATTTAGCAAATATATTTTTAATGTTTGTCCTATTTGTTTTTATCCCCAGGGCAGGGCATAATACGTCAATATAAAATACACAGTCCCTTTTCCAGTGATCTCATCAATGGATAAAAATGTACTTATCAGGGACTAATACAAATAATAACTAGAAATGATTAATATATTTTTTGGTTCTCCATAACACACCTTCAGATCACAAGTTTTGTATAAAAATAAAACTTCTCGCCTGAGGTCTGAAGACTTCCTTAGTGGGTCTGAGTGGGCCCAGGGACTGGGTTACTTGGGAGAATCTCAAGTACAGTGATGCTTCAGAAAGTGCTCTGTTGCAGCCTCAGGTAGTTCTGTTCTACTGTGCTATGAAGCACGATAATTAAACAATGATGATCGCAATCACACCCATCGATTCGGGCGGAGAGAAGCATAATTTTTTCCCCCACTTAATTCTCTCATATTAAAACACATGGTTTTTAATGTTAATCGGCTCTGTGAAATGGAACTTTAAAAGTTGGAGTTTTTTCTTGTAAGCAACTTCTCCAAACTCCTCCTGCTGAGCACAGAGCCAACACCTCCTCCTCTCCTCAGCCCCAAGGAAGTGACAGGATGAGCAGGTGCCAGCACCAGGAGGCCAAAGCCTGGTTGTTTTCCACCAGAAAGAGAAGGATGAACCAAAGATGGCCGGAAGTGACAAAGCAAGTGTGCAGATCTGCACTGTACCTCTGTTCTCCCCTCCCTTCTGAACCATACTATGAAAGACCCGTGCCCACCTGTAAGCAAATAGGCCCCTCCATCTTTGTGGAGCCAGCTCTGAATGAATCCTTTTCCTTTTTACTCAAATATATGGCCTCCTTCCATTTGGTCAACAGGGAGCAGGTGAACCTGAGCATAGGAGCCTAAGAGCCTGGGATACTCTGCTTACAGCGCTCAGCGGTCTCATGTTCTCCGCCTTACGCACTCCTCTAAAAACATCTCAGACATTTCCTTAGCTCTGTTTTGCATGTAGGCAATTTAAGCTCTGTAAGTGCATTGACATTTTTAAGAGTCAGAGACCAGGATGCATTCAAACACTGCTCCACTCTCTGGAGCTCTACTCAGTCACGTTCAGATCCATTACAGTCATTCTGAACAGAGTGAGAATGGAAAAATCCTGACAGATGCGGGAGACGATGCACCTACCACACCAGGGTACGTGCTTCGGTCAGTGTGAATGCTCTCCGATGGGGTCAGTATTCCAAGCAGCCCATTACTGACAATGTCCACAAGAACGGGAAAGCAATTCAGCCTCTTGGCGTTGCATGCCAATGAAAAGCTGTAATTCTGAAATAGAACAAAAGCGTTATAAAATCTGAAAGGTAAAAGAATAACATTGGGCAGTGAAATGTATACATATTCTTCTCAAACACAATAATATAGTAAATGCTGAACATGGCTAATATATTACTAGATCCTCAATTTCGTTTTCCTTGAAGAAGCACACATTTTAACATTATAATTTAGCAGTACTGTAATATTTCAATGTTGGCATATTATTAAACTTACAGCCAAAACCTGGCTAATATTACTAGATCCTCAATTTCGTTTTCCTTGAAGAAGCACACATTTTAACATTATAATTTAGCAGTACTGTAATATTTCAATGTTGGCATATTATTAAACTTACAGCCAAACCCATAGAAGGCAAACTCATCATAAATATAGAATACATTTGATTTGAAGATAATCTTTGCATCCTCTGACTTAAGGCTTGATAGGGCCAGAGGTAAAGAGCTTATTATTTTTAAATAAAACAAAACTTTCAGACTACGTGTCCTGTAAAATTTCTGGGAGGATTGTAAGAATTTCATAGACTTGATTCTGGCCTTTGCAGTGGATTTTAGATGATATGAACATTGCTTATGTTGAGACCATATGAGACCATTATCACTATAGTCATCAATACTGTTTACTGAGTAATCAATGAAATACTATTTCTTGCATTCTCAAAAGTAAATTCAGAGGCTCAAATGGCATAATTTTAGCCCCAGTTCTCTCCCAAAATATGAATTCTTTGCTTCTATACATGTCAATCACCTTCAACCAGAAAAAAATAGCATGTACAATGGAACAGACTGTTTTCTGGATCACACTGACATTATAGTAGTACAGCCGTGCTTTGAGGTCAAATCACTGACTTGGTATCCGCATACCTTTCTACTGCCTGACACTGTGATGGCGCCATTGTAAGACAGCTCCTCTGTGTCATTTCTACTTCCAAACGCGTCCACTTCCAACGCTATGTTCTGTTTCTCCAGAGAACGTACAAAGTCATCGATGCTTTCTCCTTATAAGCAGTGGAATATGTAAGAGGCAACAGAAAACCAAGAAAGTGATGAATTCAAATATCTCAAGATGACCCTTTATTGTCAACACTCATAGCATGCGAAAATACAGACTCTAAAAATGTTGGTCCACATATCTTTTTTGAACAAAAATCTCTTGATCTTTTATGGATTTTATAAGTCTGTTTTAATCACTTTTCATAGGCGTCCACTTCCAACGCTATGTTCTGTTTCTCCAGAGAACGTACAAAGTCATCAATGCTTTCTCCTTATAAGCAGTGGAATATGTAAAAGGCAATAGAAAACCAAGAAGTGATGAATCCAAATATCTCAAGATGACCCTTTATTGTCAACACTCATAGCATGTGAAAGTACAGACTCTAAAAATGTTGGTCCACATATATTTTTTGAACAAAAATCTCTTGATCTTTTATGGATTTTATAAGTCTGTTTTAATCACTTTTCATTCACTGATGATTTCTGATAAAAAAAACTACTTTTTGTTGACATTATATGAATTTTGGATTGGAATTTTCTAGATTCATATATTGCCTTACCAAAGGCTACCAAAATGACTGTATTCTCAAGGTGTTTTTTAAAATGACCATATTCTCAAGGTGTTTTTAAACAACACAAATCAACCCTATCAATGAATTATTTGATTTGGCAAATCTCTCTATTATTATTATGAAAGTAAATGTTGAATCCTTTAAAAAAATTTTTTTGGTATTGGGGATCAAACTGGGGACCTTGCGCTTGCGAGGCAGGTGGTGAAATCACTGAGCTAAATCCCTGGCCCTGTTGAATCATTTTTATATAAACTAATTTTTTCAATATGTATCCATATAATGCAATTGTTCTTTGCTAACCACTTTCAGCCTTTTTTACCCCGATTTAGGATTATTTTCTTTAGCCTTCAACTTTGTGATATGTCTAAAACACACTCATTTTTCCCCCCTGCCTGCTTGTGTTTTCTAAGGAGTGTTTTAACAGCATGAATATGTGGAAATTGATAGTAATGTTTTCACCTGTCTTGTTGATGATCAGTAAATTAGAGAGAGGGTCCCGTGGTTGTTGGTCAGGGGTGAGGAAGTACATGTGTGGAGACAACTCCCAACAGTAATCTTCTGGATAGAATATCTTATGAGCATTTGCTGCCAAAATATGCAGGAGTCCACAGCCCAAAATTGCTACCCTATGTAGAATAAAGTCAACAGTATAGATCCATAGCCATTTCCAGCCTTTAAGAAAAGTCTATTATACAACAAGAAACTGCTTCAAATAGACAATGGGTATGTGGCATTCACTCTCGTTTCTTTGATTTTTCCCCGATGGCTAAAATGAAATGACAACCGTGGACGCATCCTTGGTCCACTTCTCTTGCGAGCTTGCAGTTGTGGCGCATGATTTCTTGAACCCTAATCCTACTTCTAGACTGTTTCTGTACCTCTGTCCCATTTTCCCCCTTTCTTCTGTATAATCTATTAATACGTCGGACTCCATTTGTTCTTGTACCTACCGCCCTTTATTCTATTAGTGGAAACATATTTTCCAAGCCTCTCAAACTGAAAAACCGTTTTAGATTTTTTTTTCTTTTCTTCAATTCTCATTTGAAAAAAACTAGATAGTCTTATGTTAGTGTTATTGGGCGAATCTTGAAACTTCACTAATTTCTACTTTCGAAATTCGGGATATTTCACTACTCCTTGTTTTGCTACATAGCCGGCGTTCTCTATTCTCTAGTCTCCCCAGTCTGTTTTCCAGATTAATTTTAAAGATTTCTTTGGAGTTTCATTTTGCTGAGCTCCTCAAAAGCTTTAGAAGTTCTAATTACCCATTTAATCAACAATATTGACTGAAATACTGCTATGTGCCATGCCTCACATCTGCATATCGATTGGCAAAGGACTGAGGGACTATTAGTAGCAGTTAGGGTGCTAATGTGATTTAACAAGCTCTTCAGGATCAGGCTTGTTGTGTCTTGTCTAGATGTCCCCCTAAAGCCTCATGCAGTCATAGGCGGGGCTTTTTCAGAGGTGGCTGGAACTAGAGTGTGAGATGCTGGGATTAAGGGTGTGTGATTATTAAATTACTGCACTGATTGGTTTGGAGCCCTCCCTACACCTGATATCCTAGAGAGAATATAAAAGGGGCAGAAACAAGCTGCTTTTGTCACTTATAGCTCAGGGCCTTCTGCCTCCTGCCTGCCACAAACTATTTCTCTGTGATACCCTCTACTGTGCCAAGCTGCCTTGGAGCCAGCTGATTTTGGGCTGAAACCTCTACAAAACGTGAGCCAAAATGAACCTTTCCTCTCTAACTTTGGGTGGTGGGTATTTCTCTTCAGTGAAGAGAACAGTAACTGAGACAAGGCTGATGTTGTTTATGCTCTGCTGCTAGAAGTACCTGACCTAAGGTGGTGCAAAGAGGGGGCAGCCTGCACTGGAGAAGAAGGACAGAAGGGGAAGCTTCAGGGTGCCTCGGTCTAATGGCCACACTTCAGAGAATGCTGTGTGTACATTGCACACACACACACACACACTCCAACATGTCTGCCACCTCTACTATTTTCCTTCAAGCTATGTCTGGCCAATTCCAAGTTCAATGTGTTAATACAATATCATATAAATACCAGAACTGTTCATGGAAATAACAGGTGTGTGCACAATTTTAGATGCTGGAATTAATTTTTATCTGTTTTTTTAATGCTTTTTCATTTATATATATTTGAACTTCATGACTGAAAGGCATCACAGCACTTTAATATTCACGAAGAGGTACAGCAGCATCAAGACTTTGAAGGGCAGCCAGAGAAGGGAAAAAAAGGCACAAAACAACAACTGTGGTGACACGCAGAGACAGTCGGTCAAGCTCTTAAGGAGGTCAGGGAGCTGTTCTAGTCCTGAGGTTAGAAGCTGGAGTGGGCAGACTAGCTGGAGGAGACTGGTGCAAGTGAGGGTGCTGACGGATCGGCTACAGAACTCATCCCTACTTCATCTGACCTTTCTTCTAAAGGATTTCCCTGATAGAAGCCCCACCCGAGGGAGGATACAGCACATTTTAAAGCACATGTTTGGCTGCAAGCAAACTCACCCTGCACATATACTCAACTCTATCCTGCCTGTAACCCGTCCCCATTCTGAGGGCAAATCCATGAATAATTAACATTTCTTTGAAACCTCACAAAATGAAATCCATTCTTTGTCTCTCCTCTCCACCCCGCCACCTCTTCCTCTTCCTCTCCTTCCCTCCAGTAGCCAATTTCTCTGCCACTTCCTGAGGTTGCCAGGGGACAGCCAGCTTTGTTTCTTTTTCTATAATAAACTTTCAGTTTATTCTACCGTAAAATTACTTCGGGTTTGGTTTCCAGCTAATGTGGCTATGACTCACACTGGTCACTCTTTATTCTAAAATTCCTTCCTCTTTTCCTTCCAGTTAAAGCTTTTTGTGGTAAATTTGTGCCGCTGCCTCAGTTTCAACTTCCAAATTGCCATGATCACCGAAGCAAGGACCCGCCTTAGCCGGTGACACTCACAGTGTGAAGAGAGCTTTCCTTTCGTGCTTTATCTTCAGGAAGCGAACTTTGGCAACAGCACACACTTGCTGCCACAAGAGAGCCAGACCAACTTTCTCCTTCCTCAACCCACTAAGTGAGGAGACAACGTCTTCCATCTCGGAAAGCCTCCCTGTGTCTCTTGTCCCTTCCGCTCGTACATCCTCCAAAGCACCAATATCTGCAAAACAAAATGTAAGCAATGGGCTCATAAGTGCCAGTTCGTGGGCTCTCGATTGAACTTTCTCTGAGCGTTCGTTCTTTAATCCAGAGACTCCACACGATCTCTTTGTAAATAGGAGCAGAAATTTCACACAAAATGGAAACACATATAAATAAAATCAAGTGAACAGATGTTTATAACTTCAGTCGTAATACACTGAAAATAGAAACGCTTTTCAAGGTATGTTTCCTGGAAAGGAAATAAACTGTAGAATGTAACTTAACAATAAAGGGGGAAAACTTCTGGTGCATATAATGTAACAGTTGCATCACACAAATATGAAACTGAAGGATTTGACACACTATTCTTCTACTTGTATTAGCTTCCAGAGGAGGGAAATACAAACTTTGGACTAGGTAGCTTACAGGGATTCACTTGGGGCAAAGCTTAGGAAGAGAATAGAGAAGGTGAAGAAGAAAATGTTGTAAATCTCATTTTATGTGATTATTTAAGGAAAGTCAAATTTCTCAATATGAAAAATTAGTAGATGGGCATTTTATTTGATGTAAGCTACAGTTCATTAACTAAGTAATAAAACTGACTCACGGTGAATCTCAGCAAACTGTGAACATAAAGTATTATTGTATTTTTTGTTAAATTAGTTTTTCTACAATAAACCTTAACAATAGTAGAAAAATCAGATCCATAGGCTTATTAGTTGTCAAGTCAATTTATACAAATTAAATAGGATTCATATAATGAAATATTAGGAATGGATTTTAAAAGCAAATTTCATTTAAAGAAGCCAAGACACAGCAACACAAACACAAAAAGGTATACAATATACTGTAAGAGCCTTAGGAATTAATTTAACAACACATGTAAGAACTTCGTTAAGGAGAGGTCATCAAATTTTGCTGGAGTATGAAAAGAAAAACATGGGCAAGCCAATCCATTTTTATGAGTGGGAAGGCACCTTTGTGGAAATTTTAATTTTTTTCAGATATAATCCATAAGTTCAATGCCTAGAAATGGCAGAGAAGTCTGGTCCTGCTCTCCTAGGGCTGTTGCATCCCAGCCCTGGGTCAGTCGGACAAAGCCCTTGAGCAGGTGGGTGTTGAGAACAGACTCACTGCCTTCCAGGTGGATGTGCTGCTGAGCCTGGAGGGTGAGCCAGTGGGAAGAGAGAGAGAGAGAGAGAGAGAGAGCGAGCGAGAGAGAGAGCGCCAGGGTGAGTAACTGGCAGAGAGAGAGCCGGGGTGAGGAGTAACTTGCAGTAGGCCATCACCACCACAGCTGCGTCTGTGTGAGACCGACGGTTGGAGGGAAAGAAACAGGTAAAGTGCTACAAACTGCTTCTAGTCTACCGCAGAAAACTCTAGGATAGAAGGGGGAAGGAGGTTTGCAGCAATCAGCTCAAGTCCCCATAAAGGTGTTTGAAGTAGAACTGGGATGCGCTTTCATTTCTCTAGCATCTCGGGACCGTCTTGAACTCAGTCACACGAGCAAAGATTAGAAGAAAACTACTCTGAAAAGTTAACAGAGTTCTCACTGGGTAACGAGTCTATCTTACTTTTCTGTTGACTCTAACTTGTCTCCAATGAAGCCATGGTATGATTTTAATTAAGGAAATAACAAGAACCATTAAAATTGTATCTCTTATAAAAATTACTGATTTTATTTTTAAGTGACTTGAAGTACTTCTATTAGAAATAATTCAAATACATCAAACTCAAACATCTAGGGTTTAAAATGGGGGTCACACTTTTGTAAGTTTTCCAAACAGTTAAAAATGTTGTGGAAGCTCAGGAAAGTTACGGCATTATTGAAACAAAATGTTTTCAAAATGTGCACTGCACAGGACACTAAATACTGTTTATATGGTAGTTTCCTTTCATTTTATTTACCTGGTTGGCCAATACCAGATTCCCCTTCTAATTTCAGGAATACCTCATTCAATGTTGTCATGGAAACACCGTAATTCTCAATTCCTAGGTCAGGACAGCTTTCAAGATCCCTATAAAGATCTAAAGAATGAACAGATAGTGAAAATCACAGGTGATTTTGGGTAATACACGCAGCTTTCTAATTCTAGAGGGGAAGGTCTGAAAATGTTCTTGTGAAATGCAAAGCATATCCATTACATACTAAAATTTTAGCCAGGTGCCTATAATCTCAATATTCTGCGAGACGGAGGCAAAAAGATTGAGAGTTTGAGTAGAATGGGGCTACTCAGCCATACCCTGTCTCAAAAAAAAAAAAGAAGTGTCCAGGATGTAGTTCAGTGTAAAAGTCCAAGGTTCAATCCCTGGTACAAAAAAAAAAAAAAAAAAAAAACCCTAAAAATTTAATAATAAATAAGCTTACTTCTTAAGTAATATGAATAACTTCTCATTTTGATTTTATATGTTACTATAGCCCAAACTTTATTTTCCTAAGACAATTATTTATTATATTCATATTTCTGCTGCAATTTTCCTATTAATTTTTATTAGCTATATTAGAAAATTAAATCTGTAAGGAAATTTAGATCTGTCTAACTCTAAGCCAAATTAAATAAATATTCTTTTACAGGAAATAGTTTACCAACATTGTTTAGGAATAAATAAGGCACTAGTGGAAAATCACGTAGAGTCTAATCAACAAAAGAGAAGGAACTATTGTTAAAAGAGGCCAATGGTGATACAGAATCAATTTTTCTTCAGAAAATATAAGTCTAAGAGAAGGAACTGCAGCCTCCTTCATCTCTTGTTTCTGAGCTCAGAGGAAAATAAGACATAAAATCATATAGGGGAAAATAACCTTGAGAGATTGACATAAAACTTGTCTGGAATATGGTGTTAATATTCACTTTTTCTAGAAATTCTGGATTCCATCCATCTGTCCATCCATCCATCCAAAATATCAGTGCTGTGTTATTATGGACAAATAAAGAAAGTCTATTCCCACAGGCTTGAGTTACAGAGGATAACTGAAATTTAAAGAAAACCCTAATTCTGGATCCTGCTGATTTTCCTAGGGTTTTGCCTCCTGAAATACATGAGTTAGAGAATCTAAGCATTTTTCTCAACCGAAGAACTGAATGTAGGAAAGTAGATATGATTGGAACTGCCAGTGAGTACTGAGAGCCACACTTCATTCCACCTGAGATTTAGTTCATCTGTTTCTAAGTCACATATTCTTTTTCAGTGGGCTGATAAGAGTTCAATTAACATATTTCCTGATGGTTCTAAGGAACACTTGCATTTCACTACAAAATATACCCTTGAATTTCCTTGCTTGGTCACATACCTTGCCTTTGTGAACCATCCATGGGGCCAAGTTATCTGTTTCAGTCACTAACCTGGGTGTCATCATCCCCAGAGACCAGAGGCCGGTGCCCTGAATGACAAGCACTATAGGTCTAATTTTACGCATTGGCCCTATAACCAAAGCGACTTCTAAAGTCACAGCAAAAGAAACAGCTACACAATGAGGCTCTTAAGAAATGAGTTAAGCCAGAGGTTTTCAAATCACCATACTCATTGCAAATTTTGAACACTAGGATATTTGCCTTTGCACTTCAAGGGGACTGAAAGACTGCCAAAAAAAAAAAAGAGACTTACTTAAAAGTCAATGTAAATCAATCGCTTTAGTATGACAATGTTTCTTAGCATTTATAAAATAATCCAGTCCTTGCACTAAGCATTAAATCAACTTTAAATTCTGTGGCTGTAGGGGCAGAACTAATTACTGCTCTGCTTTTTCTTAGGTACTCACTGAAGCATTTCTAGAATATTTTCATAAACCCGTAATTTTTTATCATTATTGTTTTGATTTTGATTTGTTTGGGTTTGTTTTCTTTTTATTTCAGGTAAGTTGTATTTTGTTCTTTTCAACCTGGCAAGAAATGCTTAATTTTGTTTTCCAGAAGGAAGGTACAATACAGTAGGTTTAGCCACAAGAAGCAAGTTGCTTACACACCTGGATCAAGGACTGGCATCACCCCTGGGAGAATGTCACGGATGATGCCAAACCTGCAGCATTTGAGCCACCAACCACAGGACTTTCCTTGTTCTCTTTTGCCTCAGATCATGGAGCTGAAGGCATAGCAGTTCCACCCTGTAGAACTTTTAGCAAAGAACCTGCTGCGTACTTCCGTTTACTCACATCTAACGTGAGGACAGTTATCATACCAATCTTCTATAGTACGTTGAGAATTTGGTTTGTTGCTTTACTCCAAAAGTTCGGTACCATGCTTGGTACATGTTAATCTGACGCATCATGTTTTTTCTCATTGTTGCTGCTGATTTCATGTTATGCTTTCTATGTAATGGATTACCTGGAAATTTATTTGTTCTTTCCAAAGGCAATGTATAGATCAGTTTTCCTTCACTCTCTGCTGACAATTTGGCCTCAGAGATGTGCTGTTTAACAAGTGATGTAATTCTTTCATGGACACATGTTTCACTGAGCTGCAAACTGGTGTTCAAAAAATAGACACAGAGAAAGAGACACACAGAGACACAGAGAGAGGCTTTCAATTCTTAAAAGCTAGCCTCAATATCAAAGGGCATGCATTATTTCAAATATACTCCAATATCATTCCAAAAGATTGCTAGAAAAAATTATTCATAAGTCCAAATGTAACCCAAATCAACTTGTATATGAATGTGGTAAAAATAACTTGGGTACTAGTTAAGAAACTATACTGGTACTCTAGAGGAGACCAAATACCATTTGTCAAGACAGTGAAAGTTATAGGAATACTGGGCTCGAATACAGTCAACTAGTGTACACGTTTATCTAAATCTATCTTAAATTTTCTCTTATCTGTGGTCTCTTCCACATGCACAACATCCAATATCCAAACTCACCCACCCTCTCTCTCTGTACACACATACCTTATGCACACATGGTGTTCTTATGTATTCTAATGTCCGTGTTAAGCATCATGACTTACTTTTGCTTATGCTCCTCCATTCCTACTCCCTTAAGTGGTCCTACCTCAGATGATAGCCAATCCCCCATTTCTTCTTCAAAAACAAAGAAGAGCCTGCACACTTCAACTTCCCTTTGGAGAGAAACAATTTCCGATCTGAAAAACAAAGATACAAAGAATGATGGCGCCCTTCTCTTCAGACATCTGGCAATAGGCTGTATCGTGAACTACTCAGAAGTTTATGCAGCTTTAAATGTACACCGTAATAATGGCCAAGGAGCAGGATGCTAATAGATGAGTGTCACTGGTTATTTCTGTGTCTTCCAACCCCACAGAAAGACCTAACTGTGTGCACATATTTTTGAGCTAGGTAAATACCAAATTACAAATTTTAACTGGTCATGCATCAGTGATCTGCATTTTCCCAGTTGATTTCAGAATACATGCATATCTTTTAAAATATGGAATGTAAGAAATTTGCAACCAGTGAGCTTCCTAGCAGATGACAGCCTGTGTGATCAGTGACCAGAGTTGGGAGGGCAAAAGACTTTTCACACATTCTGTTAGCAAGACCACCTCGTCCTTGTTCACAGGGCCCATCTGCGTAAACGCAGCAGTGGGGAATGGTGGTCAGTATTGCCACAGCTCTTAAAGTTCTCAACATGATGCTAAGGAAACCAGCAGTTACCTGCCAGAATGTCCGCCTCATCCATGAACTGGGTACTAAAGAGAATCACGTGGCCTGCTTTCCGCTCCTTCAGGAAGTTCCATACTCTGTGCCTTGAGAAGGGATCTAGACCAGCAGTGGGTTCATCCAGGAGGAAAATCTGTGGAGGAAGAAACAAAAGAGAATCATGCACTTACACTGGAAGCAGACCACACAGACAGAAGCTGTAATTTTCAAAAGATACAGTGGTGAGGTATTATTCTTGTATCTAATGCTCCATTATATAATTTTCATCACCAATTTTCTTTGCAAATGAAGAATTTTAAAATTGGAATTTATGTACACAGTCAGTGTGACCTACCTGAGGATCTCCCAAAATGGCAATCCCAAAGGTTAATTTCCTTTTCTGTCCACCACTTAAGTTTTGGGCAAGAGTATCCTGAATATTCTTCATTTCCATTTCCTGCAAAACTCTTTGTACCTAAACAAAGATAATGATCACCATAACTAGATTTTAAAAAATTACTAGCATTATATTGTAAAGTGCAAAGGTTACATTCATGAGCAGCCTGATTTGCATACTATGCCACGGTTATTTGCTATAACTTTAAGTAAATTATTTGTCATCTTTTTATCTCAATCTCATGTACAAAATGGAGATAATATTTTCTGAGTTGTCAAGATTAAAAGATCCAGTATAATGAAAGCTAACAACAGAATCACAGGTTATATATTTCACACTATTAATTTTAGGTTTTCTTTCCAACATTAATATATTCTTTGCACAAATTTACCCAAAATTAGGGTAAATTGGATTAACCATTTGACTAGCACTTTTATTGATTTTTATATTATTTCTACCATATTATGTACCTCATTATCAACTTCATTTGGCTGTATCCCTTTTATTTTCGCAAACAGCCTAAGGTTTTCTTTCACAGTGAGGAAGTCAAATTGAACATTACTTTGCGGACAAACTCCAGTGAGCTTGCTGATATTTTCTAAATCAGTTATTTCAGAAAGTTTGTTGTTATGAATAGTGACCCAACCTATAACCAGAGGATAGAAAGTTATTGTTAGGATAATGCAGCATCCTTAATTTAAGATGATCATACATGTTTTGAAGCTACTAAAATTAGATGTATGATTTCATCTTCAATTGTCGTATGATTGATATATTACGAATTTTCATATTAAGGATCTGTTTCACCTGTATGGTGTTTGAAAAATGGCCCCATTTCTCCTCCCATCAAGAGGGGAAGTCAGTTTCTTTACCTTAGGGCAGGGCAAGGCAGAGCAGAGTAGAGAGGAGAGGAGAATCAAACATCCCAGATATGTGAGTGAAGCTATGCTAGGCCACAAGCTACAGTTAACCCAAAAAGACTGGAAGATTTTCTTTGCCAAATAATCACATTATGAGAAGTAACACATTACTGCTTTTCAAAAGACACTGTTATGTATACAGAAAAGGGGATTAGTATCTGTGACATAGTGAGTCATAACGTCATGAACGTCTGAGTGTTGTGAAATACTCAAATTCTCTATATTTTAATTAAGGTTATAGCTACTTTATAAATGAATAATATAAGCCAAACATACATTTCAGACAGCTCTCTCTCTCTCTCTCTCTCTGTATCTAAACTTAGTGCTCAAAGGAGTACTAAAGGTACACACGACTCACTGGTCAATTTTGAGGAAAGTCTCTTACCTTTGGTAGGAACACACAACCCAGTAAGAACGTTTAACAGTGTTGATTTCCCAGCTCCACTGTGACCAAGTACTGCAGTGATCTGGCCTTCATATATGTCAAATGCTAGGTCTTGGAGGAAAGCACGGAGGGAACAATGCGTGAAAGAAATAAGGAAAGCAAACCATCCTGTACATAGACATAGGCTTCTTAGGGAGCCTCTATACTTCCCAGCTACATGGTCATGGTTTCTGAGTCTAAATTCATTCACTTGTTTAATCTAATTTGTGCTACCGTATACCCTTCTGTAAATTTCAAAAGTGTGTGATTTTAAAAAGTGAAACAGGTTTTACATGCCTAGGTTCAACAGCATTGCCTGGCAGATTAGAGTCACTTCATAATAATTAATAAATAAAAATGGATCAATAATAAGCTATTGGGCTGGGATTTAGCTCAGTGGTTTCACCCTCTGCCTTGCAAGCACAAGGACCTGAGTTCGATCTCCAATACCGAAGAAAATAAAAATTTATTGTGTAGCTAAAAGCCCTATAAGCCACATATATTTTTGTCTCTCCTCCAAAGCAAAATACTTGCAATCTTAAAATGTCTGTTAAACTATGTTTAAAAAGTATGAGTTGCAGAGCAAAGCCACTAGACAAATCTACTATTATATGTTATACTATAGCTCCTTCATGTATATGTAATTCCCAAATTACCCAAAACAGAGATAAATAGTGCCCTTGGATGGAAAATTAATCATGAGATTCAAACACCCATTTACAAAGTCTAAAATAAATCTAGTAATTGTTCAATGAGGGAAAAATCAATTTAACTAAAGTCAAGACTTTCATGTAAAAAATATAATTTTTTTACCTTTCAAAGCTTCAATATTTTTAGGCTTTCCTCTGTATTCTTTTGTAAGATCTCTGATTCTGAAAAAAAAAAACCAGGAAGAAAAATGAAAGATGACAAATTTCTTCATTCTGTAATTCTGAGTTTGAGTACGAGGATTGGTAATTCTTGTCTTTAAGGCACAAGAAAATCTGAGAGTTTCTCAATTTCACTTAGTTATTATGAGTTGTCAGTAACATTTTTTTAATTGTTTTGCCTTGAATCAGGATCTCCCTGAGTCACTAAATTGCTCAAGCTGTGCTCGAGCTTATGATCCTACTGTCTCATCTCCCAAAGTGCTAGGATTACAGGGATGGGCAACCAGGCCTGGCTGATTTCTGTTTTCCACATTAGAATTAACGAGGGCTTTAAAAAAGTTTACCATCAAATTTAGTGACTCTTTTTTAATATTTAGATCTTTAATCCACTTGGATTTTAGTTTAGTGCATGGTGAAAGATAAGGGTCTAGTTTTAATCTTTGGCAGGTTGAGATCCAGTTTTTCCAACACCATTTATTAAAAAGAGGCTTTCTTGCCTCCAGTGAGGATGGTTGCCTCCTTTGTCAAAATGAGGTAGCTGAGTACTTCTGGAGTTGTTTTTGTATCTTCCAATCTATTCCACTAATCCTCAGGTCTGTTTCTTTGCTAGTACCATGCTGTTTTTATCACAGTGGCTTTGCAGTATAGTTTCAAATTGGGAATTGTGATACCTGCTGTCTTGCCATGTACTGTCGTAGGACCCCCACCAGAAAAGGCTCTGATTCCTTTGGTGACTTGGCTGTGGCACAGGCACTGGGATTGTCACCCTTGAGCTGAATTATCTCCACTGATGGGAAGGCTAGACAATGAGGTGACAAAAAGAGACCTCTAAACGACTCAACAGCGTGTCGGAGGTGATGACGTCTCCGATTCAATCATTGAGCCAGAATCTCTTAGGATGGTATAAAAGTGGAGAGAAGATGCAAGTCTATAAATGAGCTACTCGGTGTCATCCTATTTGTGCCAGAGAAACTAAACAGTATCTCACGTTGCCTACCTAGCAGATGACTCATTGTAAACATTCAAAAGCATTGGATGCCATTGATTAAATGATGAGCATTACCTTAGCAGAAGGGATTACAATGATGGCATCAGGGAAGAACGTCAACTTGATTGGCTGTAACATCCAGCCAGTCAACTGGTGGAGCACACTTCTCAGGTGTCAGGGTGGGCCATGCAGTGTGTCTCTGGGGTCTTTTTCTGGTCCCTGGCCCCTTCCTCTCTGGTTGTACTCTGCTGTGCTTCCCAGCCACAATGAAAGGAGCAGCTCTGCCTCACCACCACACCCTTTGGCCATGGAGTTTCTGCCTCGGTGCCGATTGACCATTGACTGAATCCCCAGAGCCATGAGTCAAATTAAGCTTCTCCTCCTTTAAATTGTAAGTGTCAAGTATTGTGTCTCAGTGACAAAAAAGGTGACTACTAGAGTAAGTAACTATGGCTGTTAGTATAGCCATGGAGTCTAAGGTACTTTATCTGCCAGGTTTTATTCTATTAGGAAAATACATGATTTGGAAATTCATCCAATTTATGTTTGTTATTTGTCACCTGTAATCTTTTACCACATAGTTCAGGTTTCATCTTTACTGTCTGAATTAGTTTCTACTTTTGTTTCAATCCTATATTTCGTTCTTCCAAAGCACTTCTGCTCTGCTAAGTTGCTGGAGAAAATATTAAAGAGACAAATGAACAGATCAAAGCCACTGCCTAACGTGAATTTCACTGTGAGATTAAGACTGAGATACCTGCTGTCTTGCCATGTACTGTCGTAGGACCCCCACCAGAAAAGGCTCTGATTCCTTTGGTGACTTGGCTGTGGCACAGGCACTGGGATTGTCACCCTTGAGCTGAATTATCTCCACTGATGGGAAGGCTAGACAATGAGGTGACAAAAAGAGACCTCTAAACGACTCAACAGCGTGTCGGAGGTGATGACGTCTCCGATTCAATCATTGAGCCAGAATCTCTTAGGATGGTATAAAAGTGGAGAGAAGATGCAAGTCTATAAATGAGCTACTCGGTGTCATCCTATTTGTGCCAGAGAAACTAAACAGTATCTCACGTTGCCTACCTAGCAGATGACTCATTGTAAACATTCAAAAGCATTGGATGCCATTGATTAAATGATGAGCATTACCTTAGCAGAAGGGATTACAATGATGGCATCAGGGAAGAACGTCAACTTGATTGGCTGTAACATCCAGCCAGTCAACTGGTGGAGCACACTTCTCAGGTGTCAGGGTGGGCCATGCAGTGTGTCTCTGGGGTCTTTTTCTGGTCCCTGGCCCCTTCCTCTCTGGTTGTACTCTGCTGTGCTTCCCAGCCACAATGAAAGGAGCAGCTCTGCCTCACCACCACACCCTTTGGCCATGGAGTTTCTGCCTCGGTGCCGATTGACCATTGACTGAATCCCCAGAGCCATGAGTCAAATTAAGCTTCTCCTCCTTTAAATTGTAAGTGTCAAGTATTGTGTCTCAGTGACAAAAAAGGTGACTACTAGAGTAAGTAACTATGGCTGTTAGTATAGCCATGGAGTCTAAGGTACTTTATCTGCCAGGTTTTATTCTATTAGGAAAATACATGATTTGGAAATTCATCCAATTTATGTTTGTTATTTGTCACCTGTAATCTTTTACCACATAGTTCAGGTTTCATCTTTACTGTCTGAATTAGTTTCTACTTTTGTTTCAATCCTATATTTCGTTCTTCCAAAGCACTTCTGCTCTGCTAAGTTGCTGGAGAAAATATTAAAGAGACAAATGAACAGATCAAAGCCACTGCCTAACGTGAATTTCACTGTGAGATTAAGACTGGTTCAAACCACAGGGCACAAAGTGTGCTGCTAACAATGGAATAGGCTATAAAGTATAAATTAAACAGCTCCCATTTGCAGACAGGAGAAATTTTTTTAACTATTTGCAGTGGAGTTAAGAGCATGTTCATGGAAGAGAAGGGGACCTTGCTGATTTTTTATTCTTTATTTGGCAGTGAATACTACTAGCTCCAGATAAAATGGAGATTTTACTGCCATACGAAAAGGAGATGTGCACAACTCTAAAAGGCACATCTCCTTGAACTACTTGTTTTTACCTCCAGGCCTTTGCTTTCCTCTTTCTCGCTCCTTTGTCTTCTTTGTTGAAATGATAAATAGATGAGGAGGAAAAAAAATGGAAAAGGAAAGCAGGTAATATAAATGACTTGAGGAAACTGTAAACCACCGAAGCAAAGGAAAAGATGTCAAAGTTCAGAGAAGAAAAACAACAGACACAGGCAGGGTGAAGGTGTTGCTGAACTGAGCTGCTGGTATGTGAACGCTTTATTAGATGTCACGGTTGACACCGATAGTAACACCTGGATTTAAAAGGAAGTGGGGGACAGAGGACAGTAATGGTTACAGACACAGCTAGAAGAGGTTAGAGAGGAGCCATGGGAGGGACTAAAAAAAGACCCCTACGGCCTCAGCGTTGTCTGGGGCAGGCTCAGGCTGAGGATAGCATCCAACCCAGCCATTCTCCACATACGACAGCATCTATTACCTGATGGCTTCCTTCCCGTGGAATTCTGTGGACACTGGCTCAAAAGCCTCATCGGAAAACTCAGATTCTGTTTCATCCTCAAGGGCCACATGGTCAGCTGTTCTTTGTTGGTGCCAAAATGAGGACTTCAGGCAAAACAAAGGGGAATGTCGATGTCCGTATTCATCTGTGTGACCCGGACAGAATTAAACGAGATCAGTTATGGTATTAAGGGGCACTGGAGGACCACCAAACATGAACACAATGTCAACAAAATGAAGTGTCTTCAAATGTTTGGTGTGGACAACAGTAAAGAAAAAAATCATTAGATGCTACTATTATATTGCTGTTAAAACAAGGAGCTTTATAAACAATAAACATTTGATAAACAATACAGATGATTCAATTTTACAGCAATATTAATGACCTTTCTCACCTCACAAAAGCCGAAAAGCAGACCTAGCAATGCTGTGTATTATTATAGGGCCAATGAAAAGGTGAGAACTGATTATTAAACAAATAAAATGAAGGTTTTTAGGGAAGGCAGCATAACTTAACAAAACCATGATAGATTTTAAGAAAGCAAAAGGACAGACACAGTGAATTCATTAAAATAATATGAAGGGCAGCATGATACTAGCTCTCCACCTGTACTATAGTCAGAATAAATTTAATGTATCCCTAGTTCCTCTTATGAGGCTCCTTTCTTCGGTTGTGGGAAAAATAAAAACCTCAAGAGGTGTGAGATGCATATAACTGGGGTTTCTGAAGGAACAGAGAAAAGAAAGAAAATGTTTCAAGGAACACTAGCTAAAGATATGCCAAAGTGGGTAAAAGACACAAAGTCTTATATCCAAAAAGCTCAGGGAATTCCAAGCACATATAATGGGGCAGACCATACCAATGAATTTGAAAATTAAATGGCTTAGCCAGGTATGGTGGTGCAGACCTGTAATCCTAGCACTCAGGAGGCTGAGACAAGGAGGATCACCATGAGTTTGAGGCCAGCCCAGGCTACATACAGAGTGTGAGGCCAACCTGAACTACATAGCAAGACCTTGTCTCAAAAAAAAAAAAATTAAATGGCTTAAAACTAAAAGAAAAAGTCAAAATCTATAAGACACAAGATCAAGAAAGACATTACACAGAAAGCAGCATAGATAAGAGCGACAGGATCCTTCCTGGTGGGGACAATGCAAGCTGAAAAATGTAGGATCCTGTCATCTGCAAGTGGTTTAAAGAACATTGGCGTTAAATTATTGAAACAAAAAAAGACTGTCCGCTTGAAACTCTATGCTCAGTGAACATATGTCTTTCAAAAATGAAGGGAAAATGGAAAAAAAATGAAGGCAAAATAAACAGCAGGGGAAAATGACTTACACAGGCAGGAAAAAATCCACACTTGATAACAAAAATTATGTTAAAAGAAATATAATTACACATTAGATTTCCTCAAATTTTAAACTGAGGCCCGAGAAAAGATGAAATGTAGAGCACACTTCACAAGGACATGGCCAACAGCCAAAGAAAATTACTTATAAATCTACATTGGAGCCGTAGGGCAATCTCTTGCCTCAAATGACACTGCTGATTGTAGATGAGTGGGAAGGAAGGATTCCTGCTTGCTATAGCACTGGGGAAAACTCAAAGAATAAAAAAACTGGGGGGGGAGGTTAAGTAGTATTTTCCAAGAAAAAGAAAAAGAATGAAGAATTAGTAGTCTCAAGTTGCTTGAAGAGTACACCTCGAATAAATACTGAAATTTGTTAAATCAAATATCTTTTCAATTTAACAGTGGAAACAAAGACAGCAGTAGAACATAGAAAACGACTTTTAACCATTTCTTAAAGAAATGTTAATGTTGCTCAGATTAGACAAATGTTATCGGGCCATTTACACTGGGTAAGTATTTTTCCTTTGTACTGTACTAGTTTTTATCAGTGGTGGGCAAAATAAAACGTGGACATACAAGCATATAATCTAAACACTACACACAGACAAAGATAAGTTCAAATTTATTTATATGCCTGGATATATAGCAAGCTACTTATAACACTTCATACACATGTTGGCAAAAAATGATAATCCAAGTGAAATGTTGTATTCTGAACATTTCGATGAGGCAGACACACTCACCATGTACGAGTTATTCTCTCAAATCAACATGGTCAGTTAACTAAATCAAGGAATCCCCCTACCTCTTTCCTCTCACTCATTTACCTCTCTCCCTTTCTTTCTAAATTTACTTAGGGCTTCTTGGGGAAGAGTCCTGGTCACTTTGTTTGTGGAAAATACAGGCAAGCATGACACCGTGTCTGTCCTAGAGCATGGACAGCATCCTGGACAAGTACTCAAGTACCTACTGAGTACCCAGGATGTATCAGACTTTCTGAGTTCCTTCAGCCAATAAGACAAAAAAAAAAAAAAAAAAAAAAAAAAAAAAAAATACTGCCTTTGAGGAGCGTACGTTATGGGGACACTCTGATAAATTGCACAAGAATAAAATTATACCTATTTGATTGAGTTCCCTTCCTATCTTAGTCTGGCTCACATCATAACCATCTTGAAGTTTCGAAAATACAGATGGCTCGGTGCTGGCTCCCAAACATCGGGATCAGAATGTCTAAGGTTGGACTGATTTTGGTTTTTCCTTAAATGTCTTGCAGCAACACAGTGAAACTGGAGGACATTATGTTAGGTGCAACAATCCAAGCACAGTAAGAAAAACGCCACATGGTCTAACTTCTTGTGAAATCGAGAAAGGTTGAAATAAAAGAGAAACGTACCGGACAATAGAGGTTACTGGGGGCTGGGAGGAAAGAGCAGAATTGGGGAGACACTGGCCAAAAGATAAAGAATTTCAGTCAGACAGGAGACATTCAAAAGATCTTACCCCATGGCAATGCAGTACATAATAGCAGCCTGTTACAGTGAAAATTGTTAAGAGAGTAGATTTTAAGTCTTCCCACCACCAAAAAAGTATATGAGGTAATGCATATGCTCGATTTAGCCATTCCACAATTAAACATATTTCATAATTTCATGTTATACAGGATAAATATATAAACTGTTGGTTAAACAAAAAAACTTAGCCAAGTTCCTAAGGTATTTCTGGTATGCAAGCAAAAGTCAGAACCCCTGAGTTTTAAGTAACTACAAATTTCTGTGGTTAAGAGCCAAGTCAGAGAGCATTTAGGAATCATATATCCTAAGTGTATAAAGGAGAATGAGACAGAGGAAAAGCTAAACATATACTTAATTAAACCAAAGAGCTATTGACTCTGTACACAGAATTCAGATTTCAAACCTGAGCAGTTAAATTGCAAGAGAATAAAAGAAATAATTTTATGCACCAATGGTTATGATGGTCTCCTTCCTGCCAATGCATAAATCCTTGAAATATAGGTAATACACGTGTAGAAGAAAATTTCCAAGAAACGCAACTATGAAAAGAATGTTAAGTTTTATTGTGCTACTACTTACTTGGCAAAATTTTTTCAAAGTAAAACGTCAATGCCAGATAGGATAAGCTATCAAGGAACAACATGAAAATTGTAGCTGCGATTAGATTCGAGTCACCCATCGATTCTGTATTAGAATTCATATCAAATTCGAAGTGTAAGAGCTGAAAATTAAAAATAAACCAATAAATTACAGCAAATCAACTCTTTTAAAACTTAGCTATGATATAGACTGTGATCATTACCTCCTGCCAGACCCTGAGAATACAAAATTAAATCGTATAGCTGTTTGCAATTCTCTGTTGGAAAGCAGGGCCATGTCTAAGTTGTATTGTAATTTAGTAACGGAAACAGTAGACTTGTGTTCCACATGAAAAGGGTGGAGTTGGTTAAAAAAAAAAAGAAAGAAAGAAAAGAAGATCATAGAAGAGGCAGCATTTAATCAGGTGCTTACACAGAATTTCACAGAGTTGGGAATGGGGGTGAGGTAGGAGTTTCAGGGGATGGCTGCATGAGAGCTGAAAATGCTTCAAAATTGCACTGTGCACGGAAGGAATGGACAGTGGAAAAACATTGCCTGATCCGTGTTTTTCAAGAAGAGGAGTGCTATGCAGTTCATTTGTAATAAGCACGAGACAATTTATTGATCTTACTGTATATTTGGGGGGCAGAAATGGTCTCTTTATCATAAGAAAATAGGGAAAGTGAAGAAAAGATATTTTAGGAATGAAAAAAGTGTTTCTTTTGACTAATCTGGCTAAGAAATATTATTTTTAATTTCTTTTGTAATTTTCAGAATTGCATCATATATCACTTTTACATTATTATGTGAACCGGCTAACTGGAAAAAGTTAGAATTCGATTTGTAATATTAATATTGTACATAGAGAACTGTGAGTCTACTCTTCATTCTTTTCTGGTTACTCACAAAAGAGCTTATTTCTAGATGAAAATGTCTTGTAGTTTTTAAAATTCATCTTTGCAGCCCCACAGTCGTGTTGTTTGGCAGAGGCAAAAGCCTCTCAAGTCTAAACATGGAACACAGACTACAGGCTATTGAATTTCAGAGGGGAATGATATTTGGGAAATACTGCTAGTAAATAAATGCTCACCTGGGCCATTCCGAGTGTGAAGGCAAAGGGACTAAAGAAGCTTAAAATCCACTCCAAGGACCCGGGAAGGTATCTGTACAATGCCATGAAGCCCAGACTCCCCCAGATGACTGTGAAAAGGAATACAGCAAAGCCGGTGAGAAATGGCTTCTTCAGCAAGACGCTCAGCAGGAAAGCCAACGTGATCTACAAAGACGGGAGATCCGGTTGGTTTATGTTTCTCTAATAATTACTAGTTGCCTAACGAAAGAAAAGATTTAATGTAGAAAATTATGGTTTACTCCACACTTTGGACCACAGATTGGCACCATGAAGCACTACATATCATACCCATCCACCATGCAAGGTATGTGCGGACTGTCTTCACTGAAAGCCATGTTTGTTTCTCTAAGGGAAAACTGGACAGAGAGATTTTACTCAGCAACTTACCAAAGACAGTCCATAGAAGAAAAAGAGGCTGAAGACCACCAGGAAGCTAGTCAGGATGACAAACTGGACTGATTTTGTAATAAGCGCCAAGAAAATGGTCAGAATGAAGACAAAACCAGCATAAAGCAAACCCCAGGAGAACCTGATATGGAAACAAAGTGTTACTTCAATCTTTGATCAGATAAAAACAAGTACCTAGGTTGGAAACTAATATTATCCATCCCTGTGTTCACTCCTTCCCTCATTTACCAGTTATTTGTGGGACCTTCTATGATATATAAATGGAACATGATTACTGGGAACTGGAGAAAGATAAACTTCTTCTTAGAATTAATACAAATAAACCACACAAATCTCATGATGATAGGAGAGAAAGAAGTCATCTGTTTGGTTAGGAACTGTCTGCACCACACTCTTATCTCTGTGGCCTCTGGCAATTTACAGAACTGCTTTAAACTGCTTTTCTCCTCCAGAAAACAAGAGTAACAGGAGCGCGGTTTCAATACGCCAAGGAACGCACAGAGCCTTGCCACTGTATGGCAATCCTTGGTCAAATGTTAGATTCTTTCACCACAGGCAAAGGGTCTCTGATACAAAAACGACTTCATACATTTTTTTGGGGAGGGGTACTGGGGATCGAACTCGGGTCCTTGTGCTTGCAAGGCAGGCCACCGAACTGCTGAGCTAAATCCCTGGCAACTTCGTACATTTTTATGAAAATAGGAAATTATTCCGTATGGTTTTTCTAATTCCTTGTCTGTTTACTCAGAGCACTTATAATCAGGTTCTTATTTCTCCTTATGTGCACACCTAATATTCTGCATATTTAAAAAATTGTGTTTTAGTAAGACAGAATGACCCCTAGCCTCTTACTTTTACTGTCATCTTCCTTTGTCCTTGTAAGATATTTAATTTCCATTTCTCATCAATACTTTCTCTGATGATCTAGTTTTTTCTGTACTCTCAAAAATAATGGCCAATTAAATACTACTGCAAATATTACTAATCTATTATTATACAATTAAGGCATTAATGATACTTTATTATGGTTAATAAGTAACTTATGTAGCAGTTCCAACTTTCCATATAGATATTTCTTACTTTACATAGTATTTGTGTGTTTGGCTGTTTGTTTGGGTTTTTTTTCCTCAACCAGGGATTGACCTCAGGACCTTGTGCTTGCCAGGAAGGCACTGGCACCACTGAGCTAAACTTCCAGCTACATACAGCCACACAGTATTTGTTAATCTTAGTAATTTATTAATTTACATCTCACAACATGTCTCTGGAATAAGTATTATTCCTTCCATGTTGCAGAAAAATATCTTAAAAAAACAAAGAAGCTGATTCATTTTCTTTCATCTCAGAGACAGAAGTTAACTTGCAGAAAGTTGATAAGATAAATTATTCCAACCCATAACTATTCATATAATTCCCATTCATGCCATACAAGTTATTTCTTCGGATAGAGAATATAAAACTCTCTAAGTCAACTCCCCTTTCACCTCATTCTATAATATTCTGAGCTATTTAAAAAATGGGCTAGTCTGATTCTGTAATCTTGTGGTCTAGGCTGAATATTGGATATTCCCACTATACGACACTCAAGGACAGGCAGAATGGTAGAGCGACAGCCAGTGAGCTTTAGGAGTTCAGGAGGAGAAGAAAGGATGACAGATGCAACATACAGCAGCTTTAAGACAATGAAACTATGCTACACGATACTGTAATAGTGCATATGTGATATTGCACACTTTCTCAAACCCACCGAGCTGTGTAACAGAGTGAGCTCTTATTTACTATAATTTCAACTTATAATTATGACTCATTAATTTATAAATTGTGACACACGGGTCAGGTTAATGCAAGGTAAGTATTAATAAAAGACATTGCCAGGAGCGCAGAAGCACTGTCTCTATTTTCTGCTCAAGAAATAAAGCTTATTATTCAAAATATAAAAAAGGTCTTGCTATGATTCTGACATATCATATGATCATCAAGAAAGATTATACTGTCTTTTAAAGTTTTATGTTCCTTCAGGTACACATTACCCAAACTGCCTAAACAAATGTTCACAGTCATGATTTCCTGATCACTTGATACTACTCAAAGTACAGGTTAGGGGTTTTCAAGAATAGCCTCATTAGGGAACAGTGTGGCTGGATATTGTTTCCTCTTTTTTTAGAAAAGAAAACTGAGATTTCAGTATTTTAGGCAATTTTCTCATGTAAACATAACTGGTGTGGGAAGGTGAGATTTGAATCAGTGTCTCTCTATTTTTTAATGATTCTGTTCTTTTTCTGGCCAGAAACTGCCACTCAAGAGCAAAGCAGGCATTTGTCCCTCCATGCTGCACAGTAGTGGCTTTTTCTTTGATACCGTCAAAATGGCATGACATTAAAGTGACCCAAGAAACAAATCACATGCAAAGGAAAGCCTATCAGAATCACAGCAGACTTTTCAACCCAAACCCTCAAGTCAAGGAGAGCCTGGAGTAAAGTATTTCAAGCCCTAAAAGAAAATAACCTCTAACCTAGAATGATGTATCCTACAAAACTCTCTTTCCAAATTAATAGGGAATAAGACACTTCCATGGCAAAGAACACCTGAGAAGCTTCATGAATACCAAACCAGCACTACAAGGAATTCTAAACAATATCCTAGAAAAAGGCAATGGAGATAACAACTCCATGAGGCTCAAGAGAGCAAATCCAACAAGCAAGGCAAGAAATTAAAGGGAAAGGGGGAAAAATTGAAAAGAGCCAACAACAGGAAAATAACATGATGATGATGATAAGCCAATACATATCTGTTATAACCATAAAGGTTAATGGCCTCATTTCACCAATCAAAAGAGATAGACTGGCAGAATGGAGTAAGAAGCAAAATCCAACAATATGCTGTGTACAAGAAATGCACCTAGTTCAAAAAGAAACTCATAGACTGAAAGTAAAAGGATGGAAGACAGTTTTCCATGCTACAGGAACCCAGAAAAAAAGCAGGGGTAGCTATCTCATTTGCAGACAAAGTAAATTTCAAACCAAAACTAATTAAGAAGGACAAACAAGGTCACTACATCCTTGTAAAGGGAACCATCCAGGAGAAAGAAATGACAATCATAAATATATATGCACCAAGTGCTAAAGCCCTGAACTATACAAAACAAATATTAAGGGACATGAAAAACCAAATAAGCATAAATACAATTGTAGTGGGGGACCTCAATACTCCACTGTAACAAATAGACAGATCATCTAGACAAAAGATCAACAATGAAATACTAGAACTGAACCAAGCTTTTGAACAAAGAGACTGAATAGATATCTACAGAGTGTTTCACCCCCACAAAATCAGAATACACATTGTTTTTGGCAGCACATGGCTCACTCCCCAAAAGAAACCACATGCTACCTCATAGAACATGTTTGAGTAAGTGCAAAGGAGTTGAAGTTATTCCATGTATATTATCAGACCATAGTGCAACTAAATTGGAAATCAATAGCACAAGAAATGGCAAGAACTTCACAAACATGTGGAAATTAAATAACTCTCTCCTGAACAATCAATGGGTCACAGAAGAAATTAAACAAGAAATTAGACGGTTTTTATAAATAAATGATAATGCCAATACAACATATAGGAATCTATGGGACACAATGACAGCAGTTCTATGAGGGAAATTTATATCAGTGAATATCCACACTAGGAAAACAGCAAGCTCAAATAAACAACCTAATGCTGAACCTTAAGCTTCTAGGAAAAAAAAGAGCAAGACAAACCCAAAGCTCATACAAGGGAGGAAATTATGAAGATCAGAGAAGAAATCAATGCAATACAGATTAAGAGAATGATACAAAAAAAATCAACCAATCAGAGTTGGTTTTTTGAAAGAAAAATTGATAAACCCTTAGCTGACCTTATCAAAAAAAGGAAAGATGCCAAGCATGGTGGTGCCTATAATCCCAGCACTTGGGAGGCTGAGGCAGGAGGATCGCTGTGAGTTCAAGACCAGCCTGGGCAACATAGTGAGTTCTAGGTCAGTATCAGCTACATAGTGAGACCCTGTTTCAAAGCCCCCCAAAAAAGAAAAGGCTCAAATCCACGCAATTAGGAAAGAAAAAGGTGAAGTCACAACAGATCCAGGAGAAATCCATAGGATCATCCATATCTACTTTGAGAACCTGTACTCTAATGAAAGGGAAAATACAGAAGGAATGGACATATTTCTAGATACATATGAATTACCAAAGTTGAATGAAAAAGATAAAAATTCTACACACCCCAATTACAATTAGTGAAATTGAAAACATAATTAAAATTTTACTAACAAAGGAAAGCCCAGGTCCTGAAGGCTTCACTGCTGAATTCTACAAAACATTTAGAGAAGAACTATTGACACTACTTAGAAACTTTTCAGTGAATTTGAAAGGGAAACAATACTTCCAAATTCATTCCTAGAAACAAGTGTTACTTTGATTTGATAACCAGGCAAAGACCCATCCAAAAAAGAGCACTACAGGCCAATCTCCTTAATGAACATAGATGCAAAAATCCTCAATAAGATACTGGCAAACAGAATATAGAGGGTCATTGAGAAGATCATACAACCTGACCAAGTGGGGTTTATCCCAGGGATGCAATGATGGCTCAACAAATGTAAATCAATAAATGTAATACACTATATTACCAGAGCCAAGGATCAAAATCATATGATTATCTCAATAGATGCAGAAAAAGCACTGGACAAAATTCAACACTCATTCATGATAAAAACCCTCCAGAAAATTTGATTTGATACAGGCTGTATCAACAGCCAATATCATTCTAAGAGGGTCAAAAACTGAAAAATTTCACATTAAAATCAAGAACAAGACAATGATTCCACTATCACCACTCATATTTAATACAGTTTTGCAAACATTAGCCATAGCAATTAGACAACAGAAAGAAATAAAAGGAATAAAGATAAGAAAGGAAGAAGTTAAACTGTCATTATTTACTGACGATAATATACTCTACATAGAAGACCCAAAAAACTCCACCAAAAGACTTCTAGACTTAATTGACAGATTCAGCAGAGTAGCTGGATACAAGGTAAATACTAAAAAATAAATAGCGTTGTATACAAATAACAGACTCATTAAGAGTGAAATTAGGGAAACAATCCCTTTCACAATAGCATCCAAAAAAAAAGAAAGAAATATCGAGGAATCAATCTAACAAAAGAAGCAAAAGACCTCTACATTGGAAACTACAACACTCTGAAAAAAGAGCTTAAAGAGGCTATAAGAAAATGGAAAGATATCACCTGTTCCTGGGTAGGAAGAAGCAATATTGTGAAAATAGCCATACTTCCAAAACTGTTATACAGATTCACTGCAATCCCAATTGAAATCCCAATGGTATATTTCACAGATCTAGAGAAAACAAACCAAAAATTCATTTGGAACCAGAAGAGACCTAGAATAGCAAAAGCCATTCTGCGCAACAGTGACATGTCAGGGAGTGTCATAATCCCTAAATTGAAACTATACTATAAAGCCACTGTGATTAAAAAAAAAACACCAAAAAACAAAAAACAAAACAGCATGGTACTGGCAAAGCAAACAGACCCGAGGAGCATTGGAATAGATTAGAAGATGCAGCCAACAACACCACACATACTCAGCTACCTCATTTTAGACAAAGGAGCCAACCATCCTCACTGGAGGAAAGACAGCCTCTTTAATAAATGGTGTTGGAAAAACTGGATTTCAACTTGCCAAAGATTAAAACTAGACCCTTATCTTTCACCATGCACTAAACTAAAATTCAAATGGATTAAAGATATAAATATTAAAACAGAAACACTAAACTTGTTGCAAGATAAATTAGGTAGAACTCTTGAAGACGTTGGCATTGGAAAGACTTTATGAACAAATCCTCAGTAGCACAGGATCTAGCATGAAGAATCAATAACTGGGGTCTCATCTTTTTAAAAAGCTTTTTCACTGCAAGAGAAACCATCAACAGAGCTTGGAAACAACCCACAACGTAGGAATAAATTTTTACCAGCTGTTCCTCAGACAAAGGTCTACTATCCAGAATATATAAAGAACTCAAAAATATCAGACCCCCCAAATTAAAAAACCCAGTTCAAAAATGGGCATCTGATATGCATGGACATTTCTCAAACAAAGAAGTAAAAGCAGCAAATAAACATATGAAAAAATGTTCCACATCACTGGTCATTCGAGAAATTCAGATGAAAACAACACTGAGATTTCACCTCACCCCAGAAAGAATGGCTGCTATCAAGAAATCACACAATAACAAATGTTGGTGGGGTTGTGGGGAAAAAGTAACCCTTCTCCACTGTTGGTGGGAGTGCAGACTGGTGCAACCATTGTGGAAATCAATGTGGAGATACCTCAAAGAACTCAGATTAGAGGTCCCATTTAACCCAGCTATCCCTCTGCTGGGTATTATACCAAATGAATTAAAAGACTCATACCACAGTGATATATGCTCACCCATGTTTATAGCAGCACAGTTAGTAATAGCTGAAACTTGGAAACAGCCCAATTGCCCATCAACTGGAGACTAGATAAAGAAGGTTGTTTTTTTTTAATTTTAAATAAAATGGAGTATTATTTGGCCATAAAGAATGAGAAACTAGAGACATTTATAGCTAAGTGGATGCACATTAAGGACATATTGGGTTTTTTTTTGTTTTGTTTTGTTTTGTTTTTGGTTCTGGGGCTTGAACTCGGGACCTTGCACTTTCAAGGCAGGAGGCGGAAACACTGAGCTAAATCCCCAGCCCAAGGATATATCTTAAGTGAAATTAATTAGATACACATGTGTAAATACTGTATGTGTAAATACTGTGTAGTTTCTCTGGTGTGATAAACTAAGAATCAAATTCTATAAATGATATTGTGTAATAGGAAAAATGGTGTAAAGGTGCAGGGGAAGTGGGTGGGGTAGGGGAAAGGAAAGAAGGGAAAAGCAAAAACAAAAGAAAAGAAAAAAATGGAAACAATGTCTTTGTAAATAGGGAAGTGTGGAGGGGGTGAAGGGAGGCCAGGGGAATGGAGAAAATATAGGAAACAAGATATGACATGTAAAGGTACAAGAGCCCAATGATGAATGCAACTGGATTGTATACCTAAAATGTACCAATAAAAGAAAAAAAGTGACCCCTCCAAAAAGTGTTCCCTTGGTCTAGCAAAAAAATAAACTCTGCTGAAGAAAATGTTTCATTACGTGTCAAAAATTAAATTTTCAGGATCAGGGATTTAGCTCATTGGTGCCATGCCTGCCTCACAAGCTAAGGTCCTCAAATACAAGGTCTTGGTTTTGATCCCCGGCACTGGGCAAATCAAAACAAAAGAAAATAAAAATTTGTCATTGATCTGAAAACAAGAAATACTGGTAATTCAGTATCTAAAATATTGCCTCCAGTGACAGTTACACACTCCATTATTCAGCTCAGAGAAAAATGTGGCAAAGCACTGGTAAGCATTATGCCGGGGACAAGTCTTCCATGCAGAATAAAAGTGTTAGGATGCTATAGGTTTAAACACAGAGACTTTTCATCTAGAAACCCACTTTTTCTGGGTTTCTCCGTGTATGTACTTGTGTTACATGTGACTTACCAGAACGCTGGACCTCGGAGGCCCATCATTGTCATCAAGCCCTTCATTTTCTTCCTTTCCTTTGTAACACTAAGTGAGACATAGTAAGTGAACGGGGAAAAGCAAATAATGCAGATGAAAATGAAGAAATCCGTCATCATTCCTGTGTGACCAATGAAAGAATCTATCTTCATATGTTTTCCAGTAAGTGACATCAATTCCTCCATCACTGAGTGATTTGTTGCGATCTAAACGGAGATATCAGTGAACAAAGTTTGTGAATTCATACGATATTCTTTGTTTTCTTTCCATGAATGTGTACTGCACTTGCCTGGATTCAACGCCAATCTAAATTTCCTCTTACACATTCTGCTCCCGGAACTCTTGTCATACATTAGGGCGCACCCTAATTTCTCAGACTTTACAGTGTGTTTTATCGCCTCGAGGCCTACCACTGACTGATCAACTTTCTTGGAATTTTCCCTTCTTCATACGAAACTAGACATACTTCCCACCTGATAATTCAAGCATAAATATTATTTTGATAAAAATTGTTCTATAGTATTCTAGGCTGAGACACTTGCTTCCTTACTCACAAGAACTTTAATAGCTATGCTGTGTTCTAATAATTTTCATCTTCTGTTCTAATGATTTTCTGATTACGTGCCTGGCTTCCTGGCACTATAGAATTCCTTTACCAAAATTATCTGTTCTATATATTGTTATCTTCATCTTTATGCTATACTTGGCTTATGGCTGAAAAAAATCGAGTGAATGAACAACTAAAAGAATGAATGAAAGAGTAATTTAAGAGTAAGCAAATGAATAACTAGAGTTTTTCATTTATATTTTCTTTCACAAAACCTTTGATACTTCTAATAGCATTAATTTCAGTTGAACATCAATTTACATAAGGGTTTTGTACTTACTTCTATAATAGCGGCATTTATACCTGCTTGAAGAGCCACAAAACCTTCTGTCCAGAATTGTGAAATGCCACAATCAAAACTGTCTCTAACTTTACGGCAATGAGCTTTGGGAAAAAAAAAAACAAAAGCATAGCTTTAATTATGAAATGTGATAGCCTTGAATATAAGCAACAATGGATTTTACAAGTCCCCAAACTCCAAATGCTTACACATTGACCCAACCTCCTCCTCACAAACACACACACACACACACACACACAAATTCTAGTGATTATCCTCAAAGTGTAGAGAACAGAGAATTCCTACTTAGGAAATGTTCCTTAATTGCTATTTTATTCTAAGATTCACTCTAAAGATTTTTCATTTTTTCTTATGTGCATCACTGCCTCTCACATTTGTTTAGCTTATTTCCCTTGCTTTTTAAAACAATTTTATAATTATAAAGAATTAGAAAAGCAGTGAAAATAAACCAAAAAATAAAACAAAGCATTTGCTAATAAGATCACACTGCACATAACACAAAAACGCAAACAAATGGGACCTCTAAGATAAAAATAAGTTATAAAAATTTGTTTAATTTTTCTCTCTGAGGCTTTAGTCTTTTTTAAATAATCTGTATTATGAATAATGAACTTTCAGGCAAAGGAATAAGGAAAGTAATTCATCCAAAACAGAATAAAAAAGTTGAATACTGAGGAATTAACCAAACCAAGGAGGTGAAACCTTCTGAAATGAAAATTATAAAATACTAGAAAAAGAAGCTGAACAACACACTAGAAGAAGGAAGTCTTTTGGGGAAAAATTATTTTAAGAAATGAAAATGTAAAATTACCATTTATTGAAAGTTCAACTCTAGTTTATTAGAGAATAATTGGGATAGACTGGGAAATTAATTGAACATATTAATTTTAAATATTTTTAAATTATGAAGGCATACTTAAGACTTACACATGATATAGGAATTAGCTGAAGAAATATCTTTGTATTGACTACCCACTTTAAAACACAATGCATTACCCTTCACAATAGCATCCAAAAAAATGAAGTATCTAGGAATCAGTCTAACAAAAGAAGCAAAAGACCTCTACACTGAAAACCACAGCACTCTGAAAAAAGAGATCGAAGGGGATATAAGAAAATGGAAAGATATCCCCTGCTCCTGGGTAGGAAGAATCAACACAGTGAAAATGGCCATACTACCAAAACTGCTACACAGATGCAATGCAATGCCAATTGAAATTCCAACACTATATTTCACAGAACTAGAAAAAAGAATCCAAAAATTCATTTGGAACCAGAAGAGACCTAGAATAGCAAAAGCCATCCTAGGCAACAGACATATGGCAGTGGGTATAACAATTCCCAATTTGAAACTATACTACAAAGCCACTGTGATAAAAATAGCATGGTACTGTCAAAGAAACAGACCTGAGGATCAGTGGAACAGACTGGAAGACACAAAAACAAAACCAGATATACTCAGCTACCTCATCTTTGACAAAGAAGCTGACCGTCCCCACTGGAGGCAAGATAGTCTCTTTAATAAATGGTGTTGAAAATACTGGATCTCAACCTGCCAAAGATTAAAACTAGACCCTTATCTTTCACCATGCACTAAATTAAAATCAAAGTGGATTAAAGATCTAAATATTAAAACAGAAACACTAAACTTGCTGGAAGGTAAGTTAGGCAGAACTCTTGAAGACACAGGCATAGGAAAAGACTTTATGAGCAAATACTCAGTAGCATGAGAACTAGCAGAAAGAATCAACAACAGGGATCTCATCTTATTAAAAAGCTTCTGCACTGCAAAAGAAACCATCAGCAGAACTAAGAGACAACCTACAATGTGGGAAAAATTTTTTTACCAGCTGCTCCTCAGACAAAGGACTATTATCTAGAATATATAAAGAACTCAAAACAAAACATTCCATCCCCCCAAATACAAGGACCCAATTCAAAAATGGGCATCCGAAATGAACAGACATTTCTCAGACAAAGAAGAAAAAGCAGCAAGTAAATATATGAAAAACTGTTCCACATGACTGGTCATTTGAGAGATGCAGATGAAAACAACACTGAGATTTCACCTCACCCCACAAAGAATGGCTGCTATCAAGAAATCACACAATAACAAATGTTGGTGGGGTTGTGGGGAGAAAGGAACCCTTCTCCACTGCTGGTGGGAGTGCACACTGGTGCAACCACTATGGAAATCAATATGGATATACCTCAAAGAGCTGGGACTGGAGGTTCCATTTGACCCAGCCATCCCTCTGCTGGGTATCTTTCCAAAAGAATTAAAAGAATCATATCACAATGATATATGCACACCTATGTTTGTAGCGGCACAATTTGTAGTAGCTAAAACTTGGAAACAGCCCATTTGCCCATCAGTTGGTAACTGGATAAAGAAGATGTGTTTTTTCTATAAAATGGAATACTACTCAGCCATAAAGAATGAGAAATTAGATTCATTCATAGGCAAATGGATACATATTGAGGATATACTCCTAAGTGAAATAAATAAGTCACACATGTATAAATATCAAATAGTTTCTCTGGTGTGAACAAACTATAATAGTACATAAGATCCTAATGAGATAATCGACAATGTGAAATAGGAAGAAAAGGGCTAAAGGTGTAGGGAAAGTGGGAAGGGTAGGGAAAAGGTAATAAGGGAAAGAAAAAAAAATAGGAGAATATGAAAAAATGGAAATCAAGTGTTTGTAAATGGGGAGGGGAGGAGGGGGTGAAGGGAGGGCAGACACAAGGGGAAAAAATGAGAACCAAGACTTGTCATGTAAAGGTACAAGATCCCAATGATGAATGTAGCTGTACTGTATACCTAAAACATACCAATAAACTCAATGAGGAAAAAAAATGCATTAATAGTGGTGAAATCATCTTTTGTCTCCTCTGTGAGCTTGTCCTATTGCTGCTATGACCATCTCATGATAACTACCTTCCTAAAATTTGTGGTCATCTTTATCAATCTTTGTACTTTTGTATATTTGTATTTCTAACTAGTACTTAGTAAGGCACTTAAAATTTTACATATGTCGTACTGTGTGTCTTTTTTATTCACTAACAAAATCTTTGACATATTCAAAATATTCACCTTTTCTGTTTCACTTGAGGCAAATATGGCAGCATGTGACCACTCTTACGATCCCTTTTTATGAATAGAAGTCTTGCCATGCCTTTTAATAAAATTGTATAAGTTTTCCATAAAAGGGACTTTTTTACTTATAGATTTCCCCTCTCTAGAGAATTTTATAATTGTTCCTGTTGATCAATCTTTTCTAAAATGCTCCCCCATCACCAACGGCTGCGAATCCTTCTTGGTTTTTCAGGAGAGTATATTTTTTTCTTTTCTATTGACAAAATTATTTCATAGTATATGTCCGACAACCATGTTTTCTCAGCATTTAACCCTTAGTGCTGCTTCTCACACACACCGAGCATATACCTAGCAATTGTGGACGGTGAATTCACCATCAGAGAGGCTCTGTCTTCAGGTCCTTTTAGGAGGATGCCGGCACTACAGGGCAGTCTGAAGTTTATAACAGTTTTGAACATGCAGTCAGAGTGCAATCATTTCACTGTTACTTGAAAACGTGTTTGTAATTGAGCTTTTACTACATTGTAGGTGGCATAAAGGAGAACTACAAGCCTATATAAAGACAGAGATGCTAAAAGTTACCAAAACAAAATTTTCCTTTGCCCCACCCAGAGCGAATACAGTTGTTCTCTTATTCTGTTTTATTGTCAGAGTGGTTTCCTTTCCCCTCTTCCCTTTCATTCAAAACTCAGCCTTTAGAAAATTCCAGCCTAATGTAGCCATCTCCAGCTAATGCAGACACAAAGCCATGTTAATGTGTCTTTAACGTCGCTACTGAAGTACAAACTTCTTGTTTGCAAAGACCGATGAATGGATAGAACTTCATTAAACAGCGTTATCAGAACACCCTGATGTTTGATACCCCTTTTCTTGCTGGGCATTAGAATTTCCTGCCTTTTATGTGTACTTAGCTCTAGGAGAATTTTTTCTTCCAAAACGTATTTTGCCTCACATTTCGAATTTATTAGCCTGTCACTGTTACCTTGTTATTAAAGTTGATTATTTTGCACTAGTTCATATCTTTACACATGCTGTATTGTATAAGAGAAATTGACAGCTCTGTAGTTTCATAGCTGGAAAATTACCTGTGTGGTCTTTGTGCTCCTGCATGATTGGGATCCGAGATCCTCTGAGGAACTTTAAGTGGTAAGAGAAAGGGCTGGTAAATATGACTTTCACTACATCTTCATATTGGGTTGAAATTAGTTCTGTCATATTTTCTTCATCTGGAAAAGCTATTGCTTTTCTTCCTGCCATTACAAGAGAAAACACTGCTATAAATGAATTACTAAAAACAATGATTCTGGGAAATTACTTTCTATTCCCTCTAGTAGATTTATTTTTATAAAAATGAACCCAAGTCACACAACGACCTTAAATGACTCAAGGTAAGGAGGAGAACACATTTCTAACATTATAAATAACATCAGATGGAACACATAGAAATTAATTTTCTTTCATAGTCTGATTGATTAACCAGGTTAGCAACATTAGAATATTGTTATATTCCAAACAGATTATTAACAGAAAAATTATTCATCTAAAAATATTCAAATAGAGTAAAACAGTAAATGTGTTTATAGCTCAACTGGCCCTGATTTGCATTAGTGGAAGTAACTATACAAGTTTATTTTTCTTATAAAAAAAAAAACAATTATGTGTGACTAACATATCCCAAAAGAGTAAAAAATTCTTAAATGAGTAGAGTAGCAAAATGGGTGTCACTAACAAAATTTCTATTGTCCACAGATATTGGGTTCAGCTGTATAAATAAATGTATATATAAAATTTTATACAAATATGTTAAAAACTGAAAAACTGAAAAATGAATACTTGTTTCTTCATAGCAATGGGTTTTTGTATAAAACCGGATGACCAGACATCAGGGTTTTTTTTGTTTTTTGTTTTGTTTTTTTTTTTGCCCCGGGGCTCCAACTCAGGAGGACCTTGCCTTGCGAGACACCTGGTTCCGATATCATGTATTCTTATAAAAACGGATTTTAATCTTTAGTGCCTACCCTAAATCTGTGGGACACTTGGCGAGTTACTGAACACTTTTCCTCCATCACCCGTAGGATGCCTGGTGAGGTGCCACAGGAAGGCACGTTTGGGACAGTTCACATCCACAGGTTGGCAGTGCACACTGAGGCACAGACAGGAAGGAGAGCCGGGCATCAACTGGGACTGAGGCTGCAGAGACTAGGCCATAGCTGCCTGCACTCCTGCGTGCTACAGTGACGGCAAGCGTCTGCACACGGAACCTGTGTTTGGGGGTCAGGATTCAAAGCGAATACTTTTTTTTTTTTCAAAGCAAATTTAATGGTTACATGGACCAGTGTGGCTCTACGGATGGAGTTATCTAAAAAGGGAAGAGTGGTTATGTAAATTTTCAGCAGCTTGTGTGGAAGTCTACAGGTCAGGTAAGAACAGGGAATTCTGATACTCCAAGGTAATGCCGACTTCCTTCTGTGACACTTTCAGACTCAGATTTAAGTCACATTTATGAAGTGATCTTCATGGATGATTTTTTTAGATTTCTTTTCTCATTTTATGTTAAAGGACGCTATCAGATGTGCATATGTACTTATAAAGAGAAAAAAATCTGTTAGCTTTCTCCTCTTGACTTCCATCTGTCTTGTCCTAATAAGCCTCCCGAGATTTAGGGGTGACACACTTCCTCTTTTCTTTGTGTGTTTTGGAGGTATTGTCAGGGGGGCTGAGATCCTATGAACTGGAATATTACAAAAGATATGCTTTTCTTCCATGGGTGTTGCTAATCTGGTTAGAATCAAGTCTTGAAACTAAACAAGTCTAGAATAAGTACAGTCAGTAATTGAGTTTTTACTTAAACTCTATGTGTCAGGATTCTCTCACTTATCAATGAAAAGGTTCAAGATAAATAACATGCTGTTGATAAGATATCATAAAAGATGATAAAGATGGCTCACAGTTGCTTCAGAATTTTATACATAGTGCTAAACTTGCATTAACCAAAAGTCTTTTGGTTCCCAGTTCAGTGTTATTTTAAAAAGAGAAGAAAGAATTATTGCCTAGCTCTATTTGCAATGATAACGCTCGTCTCACATGTTCATGGATAGCTACTCAACTGTAGGAAGGAAAGATTTTTGTTCGTGTTTTGTTTTTGTTTCTTTGTGACAGGGCCTCACTTTGTAATTTAGGCTCGAACTCACTACCCCAGACTGGCCTTGAACTCATGGCAATCCTCCTGCCTCAGCCTCCCTAAGTACTGGGATTACAGACATGGCCACCACACCAGGAAGGACAGACCTTGAAATGTAGAATAAACCTAGATAGAACCTTCACATTTGAAAAGGAAAAATCTTTGGGTTGTTAAGGGGTGATTTAATTTCAAATTCAAGAAAGAGAGTTGATAAATGCTTGTTACCCAAGAGCACAATCGACCACCTTAAGACTTCTAAATGTTACTTAACAGCAGGGATCTCATATCAATATCAACAAATTCCCAAACACTCCCAAGTTTGAATCTGAGATTTGTGCTTCCAAAATCTGTACACAATTTATTTACTTTGTTTAGAGAATGAGCACTATAAGCACTGGTCTCCTTGGCTTACTTTTGTTTTCAGATAATGATTTGTATCCCTTTTCTTTAATCAAAGGAAATTATATTAACATTCTCTATTATCTGGTAATTTTGACAGCAAACATTTTATCAACTAGAAATTAATTATATACATTTGTGTCCAAATTAAATGCAGAAGTTCCTTCTGGTTTTGTATAAAACTTACCCATCATGAAGGAGGCAGAAGAGACTTTATTCATTATCCTTTGAGTTGTTCTGTTAAAAGGTGTATATGCAACCACAAATGTGGAATCATTAAGTGAATCTATACGTCCCAGGTCCAGAGGAGGCATTGATGAAAAATCATAAACTTCATGAAGTGTGTAAAATGTGTACAAGATAAATAGCAAAAATGCTGAGTACAACCATTCCTACATACTCGGAGAGAAAGAATATAGAAAATAATACAGTCAAATAAGTCGGTCATGACCCATCTTGTCATATAGCTGTGCTTTTGTTTGGCTACTTTTCCAATTCATCCCCTGTGGTGTGCATTGTTAACATATGCAAAGCACAGAAGTTGAGCAGTGTCATTAATTCCAGTGAATTTTTCTTTTTTGGTACCGGGGATCAAACTCGGGACTTCGCTCTTGCGAGGCAGGCAGCAGCACCACTGAGCTAAATCCCCGGCTCTCCAATGAATGTTATATGGAAGTGAAGTTGATTACTCTCTAAAGCTAGTGCCATTGCATACCCTGGGTTCTAATGCAGATCAGAGGCTTTGACAGGGCTGTGACCAGCGGATTAAACTTGATGGACCGGTATGTTTGATTTTACTACAAGTGTCTGTGGCAGGAGACAGTTCTGAGGCATTTTTTTCTTAAAAAAACACTTAATGCATTTCAAGACTGTATGGTTGAAAATTTTAAAACTTCAGGGACCTTAGAATACTGGCCTGGTATGGCAGGTATTAGGCCTAGAAACCTATACACTACAAATAACAAATCACTTTTCAATATTTTAATTTCAAAAATATTTGGCCTTAAAAAGTATTTCATGGAATATAGGCTTAGCCTTAGCACAATCACAATTTAAACAGCCAATGCTAGCTACATATACCTACCTGCTATTTACATGGCAAGATTATAAGAAATAATGATGATTTTTTTCTTCACCTTACTGAATCAACTCTCTGAAGTCTCTATTTTCTTAAGAAACCAAATGCTTATTTAAAAAGAAAACCAGATCAAAACCTAAGGCCCTGGTCCCAGACATTGTACCTGTTGGGTCAAATGCTTATCTTTCCTTCACTTTACCATCATCTTCATCTTAATTCACCACCATATTAATCTTAGCATTAATGAATACAACACTAATTAGTTCTTTTAAATGCCTTTTTAAGCTTTAAAGATATTTATTGAGTCTCAGTTGCTGCCTTCTTGATTTTATTTAGTCCTTGATATATTGCCTATGTGTTCACTGCATAGACATGTGGTTTATTTTTCAGGGCCAGTCTATAAAGGATACTTGCCACAGAGGGAAACACATTTTAACAGCACACATATGAAGGCACATAAACATTGCATCATACCATCAAAGTGTCCCTTTTCATTCTTTTTTTTTTAATCAGGTTCTTGCAAAATAGGGCCCATGTTTGTTGACACAGGCTTATCTTTCTTTTCACCATTTTGCTGTTTAATAAGAAAAAAAAGGAGAACTAGAGGTTAAGATCTTAATGTAAGATAAAATTTAATGAAAACAGCTCATACCCTGACCTCTGTACATTTCCAAAGAGATGCTTAGGTTCTGTGACTCCAAATTTAGCCTTTCATCTCTCTAATGCCTCCTATCTCTCCTTCTTCCACATCAACTTTTTTCAACAGTATATTTTCTTAAACATATACACATCTATTCACTCTATAAATACATCTTAATGCATTTGCATTCTTAGATTCTCCACAATACAAATCTTTAGAAACTGATATATCTCAAAACAATTTAACAGATATTTTGTGAACTTCTACTTGTGAGCTTTTTATATTAATAGGATGTAAGGCAACTACACGATTTCATTTTCCATGGGGGCAAAACTTAATCTTCATATTCCTTCTATGAAAACATGATGCTGTTAAAATAGAAAACATACCAGAATTTTGGATCCAAATGAGTCTGTTCTTTTTGACAATATAAATGGGATTATATCATCAATATGACTCTGTTCACATGAGGCAAGATGTCTAGGTGATGCACCTAGAAAAGGAATTGCAGTTATTAGGTATGGAATTACCAATCCTCATCATCCTTCTCCTCATTATACAGAAGTTTCGTTCCACCTTCTCTGTTCATAATACACAAGAGTAGCTATCTTATGACAGTCATGAGTTGAATCATTGTACATATTGATTTCACAAGTTACTATGGAAAGACCATACTATGTGGTGTGCTTGAGGTGGTAGAAAGAGTCTCCTTGAGACAAATTCAGAAAGTCTCAAGCTGGATTAAGAACCCATGAGCTTTGACCTATCTTTTTCAGCTTCCTGTTATTGACCATCTGGAAGAATCAAAATGACATGGGTTATAAAGGAAGTGGTTATAGTCTTAGAGGGCAGGTATGCTAAATAAAGACAAGATGAGTGTGCTCTAGTGGGAGAACTTGGGAATGGAGAGAAATGGTATTTACTACTTTAGAGCCTTAGATTGGGGAAGCGCACAGTGGAATTTGGGTCAAACTTGGGCACTGACCCTTGCATACTCTTTCCTGATGAGGGGTGCTAAGCACCATGAGCACCACCTCAGCTCTTCTATGTTGGGCACACAGGATGGTATTGAAGGCAAGCTTTGTTTTTGGTCAGTAAGGAAACAGTAAAGAGAATAAAGTGTTTGCTTTCGCAGCTTTTATAGCAATATAAAATTTCTGCAACATTAGAGTATATGTTTAGTATTTGTATAAATATTGCTCTGCAAATTAGAAACAAAGTGATACTTCACAACATGGTTTGAAGGATGTTACTGTGCAATGTTCTGGGAAAACAGGATTCTTCCCAGGTTGACAGTTGGGGAGAGTTGGGCTGCAGCCTGCTGAAAACAGAAGGCCAGAACCTCTGTGGAAGGCCATGTTGTGTATGCAGGTGCACTCAGCATTTGGGAGGTCTGGTCAGCCGGACCCTGAGAGGCAGAGTAACAGCTATAATGTCCAAGAATGTAAACCAATGGCACTTCTTCTGTGTGTGTCTGTGTATGTGTGTGTGTGTGTGTGTGTGTGTGTGTGCACCTGTGTACATGTGGTTTGAGCAGGTAAATGACATCGGTGAGGAAAAGATGTAGAGATGAAACAAGGTAGATCTGGAGCATCTCAAAAGGAGCCCTGAGCAGGAGTAATCAGGGAGTGGAAGTACAGTGGGAGATGAGTCCCCTCCAGTGGCAGAAATAGCAACTCTGGAGTTCTCACTTGTATGAAGGTGTTCCTGAGGGGGAGGAAGGGTCTTCATAAAAGTTGGTGCACATCAGTCAAAGATCTCCAGATAAATGGACCCAATCGGGTATATATGTATACATCTATGGAAAGATGAAAGGATTTTAAAGAATTGGTATCATCCAACTGTGGGGGTAGCAATTAAAAAATCTGTAGTGAAGGCCATCAGGCTAGAAATTGAGGAAAGGGTTGGTATTGCATTCTTGAGTCCAACTTCTGCAGGGCTGCAAGCTGGAAATTCAAGCAGGGTTTCTAGGCTGCAATCTGGAAAAGAAGACCATATTCTTTGGAAGCACTTCAGTATGTGTTTTCTACGCCTTTGACAGATGAAATAAAATTCACTCACACTTGGGATAGTAATTCATTTTCTCAAAAATCTACTGTATTAAGCAGTAAGCGAAGAAAAATAGCATTGCACAACATTTGCACTCATCTTTGACCAGACAACTGAGTGCCACAACTCAGCCAGGTTAACACACAAAAACAGCCCTCAAAATGAGGGACTTTATGCATCTTTTTTGCAGTAGCAGACACACTGTATGTATCACCCAAGAGGAAAAGTTTCAGTGCGTGGTTGAATTTTGCATCTTGTAATAATCCCAATCCACAAATCCCACACAAACAGGATGTGCTTGGCATTCCCTGAAAACTTTGTTTATAGAGAAAAGCAAATGTTTACAGTATATTAATAAAAGGTTATAGTTGTATTAGAGAATAAATTTCTTAGCCTGAATTACAAAAATATTATTTTATAAAGAACATTAATTTTATGCAAAGCATGACAGGGATGGCTGGCTTATAGAAATGAAATAGGACTTTCATGCACAAAACCTCCATCTCCATGCTGCCCTAGGCTGATTGGCTCTTAGGTCCTGAAATTAGCTAGAAGCGACCTTGTTTTGTTTGCCATGTGGTTGCATAATAGCCAGCATAATTTTTCTGCAATATTGTCACAGAGATAGAAGAAGTGTGTCCCTGCCCAAAGCGTTCAGCTCATTCATGAGCTAGAATCACGCACTGGGCAGTGCTATTTCCTAGAGTCAAGCTCAGACCGGGAGTGCAGGGACAATTTTCAATGGGAAGCCCTTGGCCACTGCAGGCTCAGAGGGTTTTGCCAGACCAGGAACCTGCACATGGCTGGTTAGCAAGACTGCGAGGCCAGTCTAGTAGAGGCAGATGATGGAGAGAGTGGGACAGAAAGCCCACGGAATGACAGCTAGATACAGGAGGAAAATTCAAGAAAAACAAGCTTCAAGTCAGGATGTCTAGGACTCCCATGATTTGCTTCTGGCATTGCAGATGCTCTTGAAGAGAGTTTTGGGCAGGGTGAATCTGCCAAAGGGGTGATCTCCTGACTATGAAATCAGTCACATCCCAGTGTAGCCTGACAAACTGAGTTGTATTCCCAAGTCTTTAGGCTTGTCATTGTGGGTCAGTCTTAGAGTGTAACCAAATGCCTTAAACTCTCCTGTGTTCACTTTCCTCCCTGATTCATATATGCTTTTTTCCTGGATATATGCATTCTGAACAAAAAGTAAGGCATAGTCTTATTATAATACATTTCATAGTTCACTTCTAACCATAAAGATCCTGATTTTTCTCCTGTCATGCTAATTTTAAAATCAGAAGAATCCCTTTTGCTTCACCACAACAAAGGAAAACTGTTGATTACAAAAAACTCACAATGGCAAAGGGAGTGGACTTGAAATTGTACAGTTGTAATAAAAAATACACATTTCTCAATCTGACTGAACACATTTATACTCTGAGAGTAAAAGATGCCAGAATGTAGCGTCCACTTCAAACATATCAGTCTGAGAATGAGAGCCAGAAACCATAAAAACTTTTCTGCAAATATTAACAGTAAATAGTGGCACAGAGTAAATCTGTACAAACTCCTGCAAATTGCTGTGCAATAAAATCATACATGTATAATTATATATGTAAATGCATTAACATTCAGAGTCACACATCAAATACAGCCAAATCTTTAAGTTTCTTGTGACCCATCCACCAACAAATTTCCATCTGACTGGCACATTTATTTCCTCATGTTTTAAAATCTCACTGAAATATCCTAGTCACAATTTTAAAAGAGATATTTATTTGCAGAGACCTTTCTGTCTGTGCAGATTATCAGCTGATATTCACAAATACTAAATTAATTTTTTAAAAATTCCCTCACAGATATTTAGTATAAGGAAACATATTTATAACTCTATAATACAAACACAAAAATTAAGATGAACTTACTTTTGGGGTTTCTGAAGAAAGTGACCTACAAACTCAGTTCATTCCTGGGTCTTGTTATTTCCAAGAAAATGGTGCACATTTCTTACTGATCTGTACATCTTTCTTATACTTGAATTCTGCCTGCTCTGAAAGCTCCCAATCAGACTGCTTTTTGGAGAGAGCACAGGGGCAATTTTCTTGGCTTGCTAAACATTGAATACACGTGATCACTGTTGAACAAATTTTTTTTACTGACTTTCAGCCAGTTTCTGTGGCAGAGACCAGCCATCTGTGCTTAGTTGGCTGGCTGTTACGGGATTCTAAAGAGCTCTATTGCTGAGGGAATTCAGTGTTTGTAATTTTTTTATACGCCCCTGGAGAAATTGGCCTATTTCAAAATATAAAACACTAACATCAACCAGTAAAGAATAAAGAGCCTAGAGAAAAGGCTTTTGTCTCTATCCAGGAGACCTGGATATTCTGACTGATGTGTTGAGAGTCAAATAATCTAATCATTTTGTGCCTCATTGCTTCACCTCATTTTGTAAGGTATGTACCTCTGTGAGAATTTCTCAAACTGAGCACAACTGATATTTTGAGTTGTGTAATTCTTTGGTGCAATTCTTTTAATTCTATGTAATTCTTTAGAGGGCTGAGGAGGCAGACACAGAGGAGAAGTAAAGACAAAGATCAGAGGAAGCAGGGAAACCCAGGAAATGACACACTAGAGTGCTGAATGGAACACTGGGTCATCAAGTCAGATGAAACACCAGCAATGATGTCAGGAGTAACGGCGAAGGCACCGTGATTTTTGCCTATGTATTGAATCCCCAAGAATACTGATCCCACAGGATAACTAGGAATGTGAATTATATACACATATATACAGTTTTATTGCTTCGGCAAGCTTGAGAAATATTCTTCTCTGACAGTGCCCAATTTAACAAATGAAGGAATAAAGAATGTAGGATTCTGGTCAGGTAGTTTAGGATGGGTGTGGTGGAAAGTCAGAGTTGTAAAACAAAATGTAGCTAAAGACTATAGTCTAAGTGATAAAGGCCACGAGAGCCGGAGATTTAGCTCAGTGGTGCAGCCGCCTGACTTGCAAGCACAAAAACAAAACGAAACAAACAGAACACTGTATGGCTAGATTTTGAGATTAGAAGTTCTCTTTTGATAATGCAAATAAATGACATGAAGAATTGCCAGGAAATAATTTTTTATCAGTGAGAAAATAATCAATTAGTGAGTAAGCTGAGCAACTCAGAGCAATGGAATAACATGAGTTTAGTTGAAGATGAGGAATGAAAAGGGCAATATCAAATCTGCCTCATCTGATAGGAACATTTTACCTCGATTTTCTACTTTTTCAGTTTTATTTACTTTTCAACTTTTAATTTTATATTTTACAATCATTGTGTTTCCTTTTTAATTTCTTTTTGTTTTTTGGGAAAGGATCTTGCTGTGTGGTTCTGGTGGCCTTGAATTCACTGTGCCGCCCAGGGTGGTCTCCTGCCTTAGCTTCTGAGTGCAGTGCTGGGCTCTCAGGTAGACACCACCACGCCTGGAGGGTACATTCCTGTTGTGATTCCCACATGCAGTCTTTTTCCCCCTTTCCAGTTCACTTCCCAAATTCAGCACCATTAGTCACCGGGCCTCATCTTAAATATGTGCTCAACACAAAAGGTCACAAACAAAAAGCAATGTGACTCACAAAAGGCATGGAGCTACTCAGACAAGAATGAAGATCCAAGTAAGCGGACCCTAACAGAGACTTTACTCTTGATCAAACAAATCAAAACTGAACATACATTTATTAGTGCAGAAAGAACTGTAAGCCATTATCCAGCCTATAATTAGAATCTTATATTTCATTTAAATGGCTCAAAGTATCAAAAGGATTCATTTCCATCCATTAATTCACTTTCCGAAGCTAAATCTGCAAACAGTAGTCATGACCTGAGATACAGCTCTACTTTTATAAACAAATAATGTTATCTGTTACATTCTAACTTGTGAAATAAACAAACGATTATAAGATCTCTGAGGTCCTTTTCTGTTCAGAATCCTGAGACAGTTGCAAATGGATGAGTTATGTGTATCCCTAAGTTCCAAGCAAGGAGGATTCAGTACAGAGTAAGGATTTCCTTCCTTTTGAGCTGATACATCTGCCTCAATATTAACCTTTTCTATCAAGATTCCCAAGACATGTTTTGTCCTTCTGTAACTGGTGGAGCGGCACCCCTACCAAGCAGGCTCTGGCTTTGTTTTTGATAGTTGTCACTACATTTACTTTCCGAGATTTCACTACAGACCTGAGTTAGTTGAGCACTTTATTTTCCCTCATAGAAATAATTTATAGGCTATTGTGCGACACATTACTAAGGTCTCTGCTCTCTTAAAAATATCCAGAGATGTGAACATCAAACAAGTTATTGCAGTGTTTACATATACTTCTTGATTATTGACCATGTTTATCCCTAATTTACTAGATTTGTTCCATATGAACAGTTTTTGTACTGTGATCTGGACACCAAAACTCCTATAAAAAGGAGATTCATGGTCATGAACTCATTTTTTACTTTGTCTCAGTGCGATAAAATTATCAAGTAGTTCATTTAATAAACACATCAAGATAGTATAATAGGGCTGACTTTGGACGTGTCTTCAGATAACGTGGGTTTTCACACTCATGTGGGAATGGGACTGGCATTTAGTGGGCAGAGACGAAGGATGTTACTAAATGTTCTACAGTACATGAGCTTCCATCACCACCCAAAAAAGAATTTTGCAGAGCAGAATGTTAGTTGTGACACTGTTGAGAAATTTGCATCTCATATAACAATAGATAAATGAACATCACTAAAATTATCTATTCATAGTCATTGTAATGTTTTCATTTATTAAGCCCACAGGATAAAGTATGCTTACCCTTTACTTCAAATGATCCAAATAGTCACTCAATACAACTTTGTATACCAAGGTCTAGATCTACTGTATAATACAAATCAGAATGGACCCACCTGAACACATTATGTCTTGGTTTAAACTGTGTTGCCTCTGGCTAGCTTGGGTTCATGCTTTTAGGGATAATGACAATTAAAACTAAAGCACAGATCTACAAGGATAGAAAGCCTTAATTGGAAAGTTAGAGGGAAGATAAAAGGACTCTAGCTTAGGCAGTTAGAAGGAGCACACCCTGATACAAGGCTTCAGACAGGCCTACCCACAATGTAAGGTAGTCAGGTTTCAAGGACGGGCTTGTGGCTGGAGTGTTATCATTGAGTGTTATCACAGTCCTGTTGTCAGAGTTCTGGAATCCTTTTGACTGAGGGGAGGTCTCATTTTCAGATGATGATGAGTTCAGGACAATGGCTAAAGACTTCAAGGCAGAACTAAATGTCCTGGTAATCTTCCAACCTGGTGTCATCAATCTTACACTTTTCTTTCTTTTTTTTTTGTACCGGGGATCAAACTTGGGTTCTTGTGCTTGAGAGGCAGGCAGCAGAACCACTGGTGTCATCAATCTTAAACGGGGTGAGAATAGGTAAACTCAGGGCTAATCAACCTTATTTTGCAAAATTTTAGATAGATAGTCCCTAAATGATTAACATATCTATATGCAGAACTAAAAAGAGACTTAACCCAAGATTAACAGTAACAGAGGATACAAAATGAAAGCCAGACTTTGTTTTGCTTTTAGTTACTTATTGGTTATCTATAGATCCAAGTGAAGAGTCATGCATGGTTCATAAAAAAATAGCTTTTAAATGTCTAGCTGTTCCTGGAGAAAATGTAAACCATGCTTTTAATGAGTAGCAAGTAAGGGCAAGGATGTTGGCTGTTTCCCTTTTCCTATGGTGGTCTCCAATTAGGTCCTGACTGCATCACTTGTACTCAAAGAGGGATTTGGGGGAGACATTAAAATACATTTTCCAATTTACGGTTTTGTTTCAAGACAGCAATTTTAATGCAAGATTTTAACTCTCTTGCTTTGAAATTTCCAGATATAATTCATTAAATCAAAACAAGAGAAAATTTATATGAGCACTAGTAATAGATAAGTTGGGATTTTTTGGTTAGACACTTTGGAGATGGTTATTGTGCAAACAGATGGGGGAGTGAAGAAAGTATCAACAAGCAGAATCAATACAGATGAATGTGTTGGAAAATAATGGTGGCACTGCACAATAGGATCTTTGAAAATAGGAACAACAGAAATGAGATGGGGCCAAACACTGCAAGCACACATACTGATTTGTCAACCTGAATAAGAAATACCCTACTGAACTGGATCAGCACAGTTCCAGGGCATATAACTCGATAAAGAGATGTACTGAAGACAGAAGACACACCCTGAGTAGGTCAGAACGCACTAGAAGGGACACAAAGGGGGAAGGCTGGCTTTTGTTTCTTTGGAGGAGCTCCAGCCTTCACCTTTGCCTTGGACGCTGTCTCCCGGCTTCTCCTGACATGGACTGGCACAGGACTCTACATTGAGCTCTGGGCCTTTGACCTTCTACTGGATCCTTCATAGCTCCATCGTTCAGACAGCCCTGCTGCTCCTCCTCACCTGACTCGGAAAGCAACCATTATAAGCCTGCCTTGTAAATCCTTATATTTATACATCTTGGATGAGATTTGTTTTTGTAGTGAGCACTAACTGATATAAAAGGGTTGAGGCAGTAAATGAAGACAGGGATGTCAGACTTTCATCCCACTGTAGTCACCCATCGGATTTCTGAGGCTCATGTGAAGAGTCAATGTTTTCAGCAAAAGCAGCCCTTAGGTCCCCAAGAAATAATCTAGGCAGCTGGTATCAACACCTACACATCAGAGGCGTTTTCTACACCAACCTTAGTGAGAAGCTATAATGTTTTACCCAGCTGTATGACCTTCACAGTTTGTGATCTGGAAGTCTAGTGAGAGCAAGTGAAACTAGAGGATTTATTTAAGTTTTTGTTGTTGTTCTGTAACAATTCACTTGTTTCGTTAAACATTTTGCTTCTGTGATTTAATCATGGTCCCATGACAGATTTGTCAGTTTGTTGAGAAAAGCACAAGGGTAGAGAAGTAACACATCATGCTAGAAGTGGAAATGGTTTGTGGAGTCCAGGAATCTCTTTTGCTCTCCTCTCCTTCAGTCCTAGCACAGTGGTCCCTAAATGTCTCAGTGGGAATGGTCACCTTCATAGGGTTCTGTTCCAGCGGAGGACTGGAGACAGCTCACTCGTCTCTGGCAATTGCAACAGAACCCTGCATGAGAAGCACCTTCTTCCAGGGTTTTCATCTCACCTTTTTCTTGGCATCAATGACTACATAGGTTATTGTAATGCTATTTATTATAAAAAACAACAGCAAATACTCAATAGTCTCAGGAGCTTCATAATACCAAGTAGTCACAGCTCCATTTTTCACCTTCTGTTTGTCACCTCTCAAATACTATACAGGACACCCACATTCCATCTCCTGTCCCCCCCACCATGTTCAAAGACAGACACAGAGCCTCAAGTTTTCCTCTTACTTTGAATTTCCATGACTTCCCCTGCTGCCACTGTCCAAAGAAAACATTTCCATCTTTTAGGGACCAGAAGACTAAATCACATAATCTAATCTCTCCAGGCCCACCCAGATAACCTTCCATGTTAATGTAAACTGCGTGACACAACCCTACTGACACAGTGGAGCAATAACACATCAGGGTCTAGAGATCAGCAGACTGTTTATAGTGGACCATTTTAGAAATTCTGCTTCCCAAATAAAAAATATAAATAAAAATAATTATTTCAATGTTATTATGAGGTTTGCATAAAAGAGTCAATATAGACACAACATTTAGCACATAATATATTCTTAGTCTTTTTATAAATGATATGAACATTGCCATTATCATATTATGCTTCCAAAACTGTCACATTTCTGAAATTCTGTGGCCTAAATTTAAGGTTTTACTTTCTTTTATAGGACTGATAGATAAAAATCTTTTTCTTGAAAGATTCTCACTTCAATTGTTAGCCTTTCTTTGCCTCAATTTTTTAGCCTGAAACATATGCCCACAGGGTATTAAAATGATACAATACACATGCCTTTGCCAGCTCTCATACTATAGCATATCTATACTTTGTCTCTTTAAAAAAAAAAAAAAGCCTCACTAGAATCTTTCCTGGCTTAACAGAAGTTTCATGGAACAACTAAACTCAGTCTTAGAAAGTTGTGATTTATTTATGGGAAAAGACTTTTAATACAATAATTGCACCGTTTTGGCTTATTGTAAGGAAGATTTATTCTAGCACCAAGATAAAGTGAACTGTAGTTTTCAGCAGATTCCCTTGCATCGGTTCATCTGTAAATCATAAAAATCAAGAGAGTAAGTAGGACTAGTGTTAATGTCCCCTTTTGGAAGTGAGAAATCTGGAGACCTTTTGCTCAAGCTCTCTTCTGATTAGAGTGATGGCAGTATGGTTTTCGTGAACTTGGAAGATGCAAGAAAAGCTAGAATAAAAGTAAAGGTTTTCATATAATCAGTGTTCAGTTAGCTAGAAATAATAACAGTGATGAGAAAACAGAAATGCTACTAAATTAAGTGTACAATTTATTGTATTGATTTTAAGGTGCTACACGGTCACTACTTGTACAGGTCATGATATATATTATATATAGATATGGTAAATTAAGACCAATGAAATAATGAGTTTTTAGTGTGTAACAGGAGGGTACGACCTTCCATTTCATATATATATA